AAGTTTATAAAATGATCATAAACGGATTTCCACTTTCCACGCTCACTTTCCTTTGACGGTAGCTCGCATTTTATGGAAATTTCTTTCTTTTCCCCCTCCTCCCAAAACGAAAAAGGGAGTCCAACTCGAGATGCAACAATTAAGCAGAGGCAGGTCCCAGCTTAACCAATCAACTGGATGCTGGACTGCTCTGGCCAGAGAATTCCATCGATTTGCATATCTAAAGCATTAACTGAACGCTCGTTTGGGGCTTTTGATGCCGCTTTGCATAGATTTTGAGGGAACTCAAGTATTTATTTTCATCTGCTGTGGCTGCCTTTTACATGATGGCAGTTCATTGTTCGAACATTCATCTACCGTTAAGATGACGGACCAAAGGGAGCTAATCGAAATCAGTGTCAAGACGAAGGGTAAATGCTCTTCTAACTAGAAATATATCTAACTTTCTAGGACTTTATAATATTACAAATGCTTTTAATACTAAAAAATAAAATATAATTGAAAATACGCTTATGAATGATAATCTGTATATAGCATACACTTACATTAAATATATTAAATTGAAAATACAATTTTAAATGAGAACTTAATAAAGCATGCACTGTATAAAGGATACATTTATATTCTTTATTACCATCTGCAGTCGAGTCAATCTAGACTGGGCACAGCTGCTACCCGTTTGTTTACATAATTTCGTTATTTTTTCACAAAGATGCATATAACTTTTATTTTTTGTTCATATATTAACTTATTTTTTGTCTTAAAATGTATTTAATTTGTTTATTTTCTTCACTATCTTTGTATTTATTATATTTTCTTTATTTAATTTAATTTATGTATATCTTTGATACTATTTTGCTTATGCTTAAAGTTAGAGAAGTCGTCCCCATTTCTGGTCTATTGACAGTGTTAATTAGCCTCAACTTGGGTAGGGTATTGGAGGGGAGACAATGTATTCGGTCTTTGCAGTTTGCTGAAAATTAATTAGACTCAATTTGTTGCTCAACCATCAAGACCGACAACAATGGCAGCTGCTGCAGCAGCATCAGCATCAGCAGCAACCGCTATGGCAACGAATGCATCTTAGTTTTTTGCCGGACAAATTCTATGCTCATATTGTGAGCAGGAAGGCAGAGAGATGCCAAACAAAAAACCAAAATGTTTGCGCTTACAATTCTCATGTAAATGCCAAAAGTTTCCACATTGTTAAAACGCGATTTTGTGGAAGGGGAAGCGGAAGGGTATGGATATGGGGACAGAGTTTTTCCAACTTAAACAGAGGCGAACGGTAAACATGTTGCTGTCAACATTTACATGCCAACATGTTGCCGGCCACCGATTAGAAAGCGCCGCCTTTTTTAGATAAGGTCTGTCCACTGAAACCACCAAGTCCACCGAAGCAGAGAGTCCACTGGTTCAGTGAGTCCATGGAGTCTCCAATGATTCCCACTGGCCGCCAATGGAGCGTCGAGGAGAATCATTAGCTGCCACTTTCCCAAAGTGCCTCCCTCCCAAAAAAAGTCATCTCACCGAAATTGGTCATCAATTGAGCTTGTTATTATTTCATTGACTCATTTATAAAAAAACTTATTTACGGTGTTTTTACATAACATTTTTGTTAACTTTCTTAGGTACATATAATACTATACATTTTTAAATTAAAACTTTTACAAATATTTAATATTTACTAAAACTGATAAAGGTTTATTTAATTTTACAGACTAAAATTATATAATGCCAATTAAAATATTAATTAATTAAATATAAATCTTTATGATTCTAAAGTAATCAACAAATAAATACTCAAAACTTAAAACTTATACAGCATTTATTTGTTTAATGTCTTTAAAATAGAAAAACTTTTATTTTGTATATGTTTATTTATTTACAACAACGATAAACGTTAAAATAATATAATATTGATTTAATTATCTTTATTTCATTAATTTATATCTAACCAGACTTAGAGTAGTACAACAAATTGGAAAGGATATCAATAAACTGCTGCAGTAATTAAAGTCTAAAAATGTCTTGTATAATTAAAGTGGAAAACCATTAATACAACAATAAACAACATGAATTAATAATCAATTATTTTTTAATTTTATTTTGAAGAGCATATAAGAAACTCGGTAATATATCTATAAATGACGTACTAATTTTAACTCAATGATTGCAAATGGCTATAATTTGTATATTTGTATAACGCTGACGATATAAACCGAGTCGATCTAGCCATCTCCGGCAGAAAAAATGTATTAATTCTATTACCATTTTATAAGAGTTTAAAATTTTTATAATTTGGAAATTAGTTAAATATTTTAAATTTCAAATTGAGTATGAAGATAATATGTGTGATTGTTTGGCTTAGCTATGAGTTTGTCAACTTTAACTTGTCGATAATATTTTGATATAAAAATATCGATAAATGTTGTTCAAATAAGCCCAATTTGATCCCATAATTTGATAGAAAATTGCAAAAAAATATAACCTCGGGTTCCCTGAGTTGGTTTCCTTTCTTGTTTTAGATTTAACTTGAACAAAGTATATTTAATATACATGTGATATATTTATAGATGAAATATTGGTTTCCATTTCTCTCCGTGTACGTTTGCTTTACTTTCGGCGTAATTTATCAGAGCTGAAATGCAATCGGTGTGCAGGTGAAAAATAGAGAGACAGGCAGACAAACCGACGGAGGGACAGCGCCAAACTCGCGGACTAGACAACTCGGCCACTTGTTATCCACTGCAGCGAACTGCATTGAAGCTGCAGCTCAAATAGCTGACTTATACAGATGTCAATTATTTTTGCCCGGAGCTGGAGCTGGAGCTGGATGCTGGATGCTGGACTGAAGCTGAAGCTGAAGCTGAAGTTGAAGCTAAAGCTGACTGGCTCTTCCATTTCGATTCAGTTGTGCTCGCTCTGGCAATTTTGGATCGCCGTGGATTGGATTCGATTGGGGACGAAATTGCTGGGTGAACTCGTTAGCCCGCTAGTTGCAAGTTGCAAGTTGCATGTTGCTATACACACGAGAAAATATCCAGGATATTGTTGCCAAATTTAGGCAAAAGTCTAGATTTGCTTGTTTTCTATATGAACACGCTTAATTTTTTCAATTCCGAATATTCTTGATTCAATCCCGCTGATCTTAAAAATTGTAATCCTAAAAATTCTTGATTTAATCCTGACTATTCTTAGATTTTTGAATTCCAAAAATTGTTGATTCAATTATGACTGTTCTTAAATATTTTAGTACCAAGAAATCTTTTTTAATCCCCAAAATTTAATCCCCAGGGATGTTAGAATCAGTTCGGAATCATAGAAACACAAGTGCGAGATTCATTAATTTATTCATTTTAATCCCGATTCGGATTCAATTTGACTATTTAACACGAATTGTACTTGAAAATTTAAAGGTACCACATCGATAAAATCAATTTTTTTTAATTCTTATTATTTTTTTTTATGTGTAGTTGCAACAATCCATCCATCCATCCAGCTACGTGGCAGCAAGTCATCCAATTGCCGGCTACGAAATCGTTATTATTTGAGCGGATTGGACGAACATGGACATCGGCAGGGATCTGGACGGATCTCGGTTCGCGCTTCTTGTTCATTGCTTGCAAATTATAATTGAATGATTGCATGGCAGTCGAGCGATTTGCTCGTCATTTTCCCAACCTCCTCAGCTCGTTACGGACTATAGCATTGAATCAGATCGGATCGGTTTGAATCGATTGATATTGATGGGGCTAGGGGCCCCTACTTAAAGTTAAAGGTGTCAAAACTATTGGCTCCTAATGGTCCTCCAACGGCCATTCCAATGCAATGTAAAGCAATTTGGCCAAGTCAAGTCAAGTTCATTAAATTGAATCCGAAGCTTGAAGCCATTTGACTTATTACAGGCCAAATGCCTGGCTTGGCCAACTGATGGATGTAATGTGGCCACGACGGGGATCAACGTTTGACAACGAATTTATTTAAAAGACAACTTGCAACAAATAAATTTCGCCAAAGAGCCACAGACAGATACATATATCTACACCGGAAGTATTTCCTATAAAATTGAAATTGAAACTAAAAATGTTTAAAATATAAGCTTTTGAACTAAGCAATAATTGCAACCTATTTATTCTTCGAGCTTATAAATTCTTGCACTCGTATTATTCTTTTACAATTTTGTTAGGCAGAAACTATTTCTGAAAGTATATAATTATTATAATTAGATTTTAATTTTAATCTGAGTTCGATTTGTTTTCTGTGCACTCTCTGAAGCCTGGAATGCTGGCTTTGACAAGAGCTGGTCTGTGTAGGAGTCCGGAGTCCGCAGGAGCTTGACGGTTGGAGAGCGTGGACTTGGTCTTTGTCCTACTCGTTGAGGTCCAATAATGCGATGGCTTGTTGAAATTCATTCATCAATGTAATCGATCAGACATGGCCACGTAACATGCTCCTCGTATGTAAATGGAGCCTGAAATGCACTCACACACACACACACAGACAATGCTACATAAAATTTAATCAATTTATTGGAAACGAGCTATTGTCTTTGGTCTTTCGCCTTTCAGCTTTTGAGACTCCGACTTCGATTCGACTTGACTGGAGGCTTATCCCCGTCCTGGCATCTACACTTTCTCCTCTCAGGTTGATATGGAAGAGTACAACTACCATTTTCTTGGCACGAATGCAGGCAAAAGGCCAAGATAAATCTCCGGGATTCGTGTGGGGAGGAGGCTGTGGGTGTGGGTGTGGCTCCTGGCCTGGACAACCGCTCCCACCTAGTTGGCTGAGTTGTGGCCAAAGTTTGGCATTAGATTATGGTTTTTCCATTTTCTGGATGTCAGCCAGTGAAGGAAATATTGAAAATAGCTTTTTCTATTTTCAGCGCCAGATGTGAAGTAATTTAAGCGCTTTAGTAACTGATTTAATATATAAAACATTGATTAAAGAGTAATAGTATCTTTCTAGAGCAAAAGTGTATATTTCCTCTAGTTGGCAAATGTCATAAGTCAGTACAAGCGAGAACTTTAAACATAAAATATATTTGACAACAAACATAAATACAAAATACAAGAGTTTTAATCATGGGAAAAAAGAAGAATTCTGTAACGGCTTTACACAAGTCGGAAGCCAATATCAAATCCAACATGATTACCGAAAGCGAGGCCAAAGACCGTGAGGTCAAGTACTTGGCCCGCCTGGCCGATGTCTCTGTCAGTGCAGATTTGGTAAAGAGTAAGCATCGATTGTCCACATATCGAAGAATCAGTATCCTCATAAATACAAATCCTGGATGCAGGTGCCGACAGAGAATTCTATGAACAGGAAATTGCCCGTGCGAAGGCAGAGGAGTGGGACCACTACCTGCGCTGTGATGGACTTCCTCGTCCAAGCCGTCCCGTCGAAGTGCGAACATTTATTGCCAAGATGCGGCACTTTGACGAGATCGAGACCAACGGGGCCTTGGACTGGGCCCTGTCGGTGGACGATCGTTCGGTCTTGAACCAGGATATGTCCCGAGTGGACAAGACGCGTAACGTCATGGAGCTCACCAAGGATAATCCCGGGACACATTATGATGCAAATGTGAGGATGTGTCTGGGTACCTTGAAGCAAATGGATGTGATGATGGACAACCAGGCGGAGATGGATCAAATGTCGACGAAGCAGCAGCATGCCGTCATGGAGGTGGGTAACATCTTAAAAAAAAACGTAGATTAGTTAAGTAATATATTATCGATTGCAGGTTTATACCGAGGTTCAGCAGGAAATTGAAGAACTTTTCAATCGCCTCACGTATCGGGTGTTGAAATTGCAAGATTCCTATATGGAGTGAGTACATTTTCATGGGCTTTGAGACACATTATATTTGTATAAATATTTTTGAACGAAAATTTCCCCGTACAGCACAGTGGATGGCAGGATAACCCAATGGAGCTTTAGAGGTAATCTGTGGGAAATTGATATGTGGGGTCTGCGGAATGTGCCCATTCGATTCGAACACATGGAGTAAGCAGGACAATCTACAAATCTATTTGAATGGTTAATCAATGTGTGATCCTCAGCTTGCCGGTGATGTTTGCCGAACTGAAGGCCACAGGCGTTGATATTCAGATACCTATTTCTGTGCTAACGGATTGCTTCACCGTTCGCAGTGTGCACACTGATTTCGACAATGTGTCGCATAAAGCCAAAAGTTACGAGCCGGCTGTTACCTACTCGGAAAACTTTCCCAATGCCGGAATCGTGGATGTAATAGAGTCAATCCAGAATGAGTGGGCGATGCAGGAGGAACTCAAATTCGAGACGATGGCTCACATGGAGCAGAAGCAGCAGGAGTACGAGGACGCGATGAAGCTAATCGCCCTGAGGATTGAGCAGGCAGCCAGGGCCGCCAAGCAAAATGGTGACGAGAAACCCAATGTGACAATACCAAAAGCACCAAAGGCACCACCGATATTACTACCGGGTATGGTACCAGATGTCTACCATGAATTTATCAAAATCGAGGACAAAGAGTATGCCGGATTCCTCGACGAGGTCTATCATCCCAGGCATCTGAATATGCGCGAATTCGAGGTGGGTACAGCCAGATGGGATTCTATTTATTATAAATTTAAACTTCTGTTATTAGATTAATCTCCGGGAGTGCATCATGCTCGGTGGCATCTATTCGGTGTTGATCATCCGAAGGCCTGATCAAACCCAATTCGATAGGTTCAACGTCATCCTGCACGAGGATGGTCGTGTTCTGTACACGATGCCCGACATAAAGGCGGATGTGAAGTCCACACGCCGCTCGAATATTTCGGGAAGGATGGTGGAAGACTATCGCGCCTCCATCTTAATGCTGGATGACAATGAACTGCCGTATTTCATCGTTTCGATGCAGCTGCCCGCCGATCTCTGCAAGTGGTGTCAGCCGGTCGTGTGTCAGCTTCTCACCGAGCAGGAGCCGGCCGCGAGTAATCAGGTCTTGGATAGACCCATTGGATCCGATCCCTTTAGCAACAGCAACACGAATGCCAGGATTAGTTCGTCTTTGAGCCAATCGAGCCTGCAGGGCTCGGTTAATATCTCGAATATCTTTCGGCCCTCCATTCGATCTTTGCTTCGGACTAGCAAGCCTGAGGAAGTTGGAAGAAATGGGTTATCCATTGCGAATTTCAAGTTGCTGGAGTCACTGGATGTCGTGGATGTCAGGAAAATGGAGCGCCACTGCGTGCCCAGGATGATTTCGTCATTTAAACTGCCTCGCGATTTGATCGATGAAACCACAGATTTGGAAGCACCCAAGACTACCCGATGTAGGTTGGTCAAAAGGCCAGAACTGGAGGAATCGAAGCCCGACCAAGAGATGTCGCGGAACTTTACCTTCGAGGATCAATACGAACCGGAGCGCCTTTTTCCCGTCTTTCCTACTGTAGAACCCATCAATTACCATGATTACGAACCTGGGGAGCTGGAAGCCCCATTCGAGCATACTGGGCTGGGACTATTAAAGAAGCTGGACCACATCAAGAGCCAGTATATGGGCAGACCCATCCATCTTTGGAATCAGCAGGTAATGCATGATAAGAAAGATAAGAAAGTTCCAAAAGCACCTGCCCGGCCGATTGAAACCGCTCCTGCCGAGGAGGAATCAGCAGATAAGTCGCAGTCCAGCAAGGCGCACAAACATATCGAAACAAAGATCCAACCGAGAAAGTCCCAAATAGGAAGCGTTGTGGACAATGGTTCGGAGGCAACCATCGAAATGGTAGACGTGACCCATTGGACCACGAGGTACATCATAGAGCCCACTCTTGACATGGCAACCCAGAAGATCACATTCAAGACGGATCGATTGGGTACCTTTGGATTAGCCTTCAAGCGCTATGAGCACTTTCCCTTTCGTGATTGGTCACTGCAACCAAATGAGGAAAAGTAAGTTCTTTAAAATTCTGGCCAATGCAAGGTGCTTTTTAGGTTCAAAGGTTCTAAAGAAGGAATCTATTTAATGGGTTTATATTTTTCTCTGTTACCCTTAGTCCCGATGAGATCATTTTTACCGTGGACACCTTCCATGTCCGCATCTTTTTTTACATTACAACCCAGGGAGTCCGTGGCTATGTAACTGATCTGTCCAAGGCATATACTGCCAAGCCCGTTAAATATCTGGAGATTAAGGAACCCATCTCTGACTTTGGTCAATTGCGTCAGGTATGTAAGTCTACCAGAAGGAGATCAAACCATTTTTATGTCGTGTCATCCCAAAGCTCTTTATACACAACAATATTAATGTATTTGCCGAGAACGATGCCAGTTATTATATCGAAAACGGTTACTTCTCGATGAAGCACGTGGCAACCGAGCAGCACTCCTATAACATCATGGGTCTCCATTGCAAACTCATGAAGTTCTATCGGTCCAGCTGGAATAGATTGGCCTCGCGTCGGGACATCATCATGAACATGAAGATTGCCAAGGATCCTTCCGACTACTCGGAGGCCACCCTTCGGATTACTCCGGAGCAGACGACATTCGTACAGGTCACTGAGAAATGCTCGGATGACGTGGATGTGATCCTGCTGACCTATACTGAAACTTGGCGTAATATAAGCGTGAGTGATGAAGTTCAAACTATTGAAGTAGATCATATGGAGAGTATATAATTTTTCAGAACTTTATGGATCTGCATCAGGCCATTACATCCATGGTACTTAATGCCACAGAACTCAGAAATAAGGATACGGTTCTTTTACATTATGTCACTCGAATGCTAAAGGAGTTGAGGCCATTGAGCTTTTCATAGAAAAAATTAATATATTTTTGTAACATCTGTACATATATATATATTTGGTATACTCTCGTAACGCAATAAATAGAAAAATTTTAAAATGTATTAAGTTGGTTTTAGGAATGTATAAAGAAGTCCCATATGATATATCGATAAAAACAGGAACAATATCATATCAAAAATTTTATTTTCAGATTAACTTCGGGTATAAAATGCCTAAACATGGTAATCCTAGCCTTAGTCGTCATACTCAAACGTATGATCGACCACAACAACAAAAATATACATACCACCAACAAAACAAATAAATATCTTAAAATATACATAAAACATAAAAACAATAAAACACCAAAAATATAAATAAATGAGCAAATAATAAACTTACTTTAAACAAGGATAATTAAACCAGGAAATTGGCAAAATGCCAAAGGCACATAAAACTGATCCAGCTCAACGAACTCTTCTAACTGAAGCCGAGCAGAAAGAGAGGCAAAAAAATAACGTATCCCGTTTGCAGGATATTGTATCCACATGTGCCAATTTTAAAAGTAAGTAGGATATGTATTTACGAGAAGTGCATCATAATCGGATGAAATTATTCAGATTTCCTGGCCAGTTTCAAGGAGATCGAGGGACAGCGAGCGGAGAAGGAGAGCTGGGATCAGTATATGCAATGTGATGACTTGCCAGATCCCAAGTCACCTGTAGATATCCAAACTTATCTATCAAGACTGCGGTACTATGAGGACATCGACACCGCAAACTCAACAAACTGGACGCTGGCAGTGGATGAGCGTAGTGTGCTGACCCAAAACATATTTAAGAAGAACCGAACGCGAAAGGCTTTGGAGAAAACCAACCCTACCAGTCCAGCTCCATATTTCGAAGTGAATGTGAGGAACTGCCTGGAACTGCTGCGGCAAATGGATGTCCTGATGGGCAATGAGGTGGAAATGGGGAGAATAGCTTGGAGTAGACTGATTGAAATTCATAACGTGAGTGAAGCAAGGATGTTGTAGTGAGGGATTCCAATCAATAAATCTATTCACAGGTCTATGGCGATGTCCAACGAGAGATCCAAATGTTATTCGATCGACTCACTTATCGGGTATTGGCCATACAAAAGTTGTCCATGAAGTAGGAATATAAATAAGTTATATTTGATATTTGTACTAAAATGATATATGTAGGTCCATCGATGGAATAGTGGCTACGTGGAGTCATTCGGCCGAACGATGGCGCATGGATATCTGGGGTCTCCTCAACGTTCCCGTTATCTTCGAACAAATGGAGTAAGTTTTTCGCACATAAAGGTGCGTGTCATCTAATTGTCCGCAGATTTCCAGCAATGATTGCCGAGTTGCCATCCACTGGTGTCCAGGTTCAGATGCCGCTGAGTATCCTTGCCGATTGCCTAACAGTCCGGTGTGTTCACACCAGCTTCGACCATCACTCGAAGGATGCTAAAACCTTCGAGCTGGAGGTGATCGACAACGAGGAGTCATCTGTCGGCATTGTCGATATGGAGGAGTCGGCCACCACCGAATTGCTGATACAGCAGGAACTCCAAGACGAGATCCTGATGAAAATGCAGCGCAAACGCGAGGAATACGAGGAGCTGATGAACCTGATTGTCGAGCGTACCGAAATGGCTTCCAAGAAGGCCAATGAAAATCTGAAGATAATCATTCCGAAGACCCCCAAGGAAGTGCGACCAGTTCCGCCTGGCATGGTACCCGACATCTACGAGGATTTCATCATTCGCGAGCATAGTCATTACGAGGAATATATGGAAAATTACTTCCATCCGAAGAAATTGGACATTTTCCCTTACGAGGTGCGTAAAATGATAGCTTAATAAAGACCATTTAATAATTATATTATAATATATCTAATAGATAAACCTCAGGGAGCACATCATTGTCGGTGGAATCTATTCGTTGATGTTCGTAGAGGCACCCGGTCAGACGCAGTTCCAGAATTTCAACATAGTACTTCACCATGATCGACGTGTGCTTCGCATTAATCCAGATGTGGTTGTGGATATGCCGGGAAACGGGTCGACCGGGTCGTCCAAATCGCTTGACCCCAGAGCAAACCTGAATGACAACGAGCAACCTTACTTCATTGTCACAGTCAAGTTGCCGCCGGGTTTGTGCAAGTACGGCAAACCGAACGTGTGCTACTTCCTTACCGAGCCACAGAGGATCTCAAAGGCGGCTGTTTCTAGTTTGAGGGCCAGCCTATTCGATAGCCGTCGTCTATCGAGGGAGCCGTCCAGCGACAACATATCGACCATCAGCAATCGATATTCGTCCATTATCAAGTTGATCACAAGGCAACCGAAATACTTTCAGAGCGATGAGAGGAACGACGCAATGGACTTTGAACTGGATAGACCCCTGGACAAGTGCGAGATGAGGACCCTGACTACACACTGCTTGCCCCGTATTATCTCCTCCTTCAAGTTCCCCCTGGAATTCAATGACGGTGAAGTTACCGACACTATTCGAAAGCGGACTAACTTGATCAAACGCAATGACACTACCGAAGTATCAGAAATGGCTCTGAATGAAGGCGACTATGACTATAGTGTGCAGGATCAGGCGGAAAGGATGTTCCCTTGGTTTCCGGATGTATTGCCGGTACAATTTAGCCCTGACGACAGCGGACCGTGCAACAAAGTATTAGCAAGTGGTGTGGTCTGCGCCCTCGACGAAATCAAGCGGCAATACGAGGAGAAGCCGCTGGAATTACTCCAGCAGGTGGAACCCGTAAGCAAAAAGGACAAGAAAATGGATCGTTCTGATAACTCAGAGCGGCTGGAATTTAAAACGGATGGCATTAACGGGCAGGAACCCAGAAAGGCCAATTCTTTGACTACTGCAACATTGCCAAAGGGACGCCGATCGCTTCAAAAGCTGAAAAAGACTCCATCCATCAGTACTGCTAGTCCAGAGATGGTTTTCACCTCCGGCATGGTGAGCCACTGGACAAGCAAATATATCATGGATGAGAGTTTTGATCCCACAACCGAGACACTCACGTTTAAAACGGACCGCCTGGGGATGTTCGGGTTGGCCTTCAAGCGCTACGAGCATTTCCCCTTCAGGGAATGGTGTCTCAAGGCGAACGAGGACAAGTGAGTACTTGCCACATGGAGTTATGGTTTGTTCTAATCCTGAATCTTATCCTGAGCAGTCCAGATGAGGTAATTTTCACCCTGAGCACCCACCACGTGAGCATGTTCTTTTACATCTCATCCCAGGGCGTGCGTGGTTTCGTAACCGATCTGACCACCGGATATATCGCCAATCCATTAAAATATCTTGAGATCAAGGAGCCTATTTCCGACTTTCATCAGCTCCGCCAGGTAAATCCAAATGTCCGACCTTCGACCTACATCTAACCTTATTTCACACCTTATTGCAGACTCTTGTGGACAAGAATTTCAACATCTTTGCAGAAACCGATGCCAGCTTCTATATCTCAAATGGTTACTTCTCCGTCAAGCATTTGGCCTCTGAAATTCACACCTACAATACGATGGCATTGCACTGTAGGTCCATGAAATTCGATCGATCCAGCTGGAATCGATTGTCAGACCGTCGGGACATCATCATGAACATGAAAATTGCCAAGGACACTTCAGATTTCACCGCGGTGACGATGCGAATTACGCCGGAGAAGACTACCTTTGTCAATGTCTCTGAGATGTGTTCCGACAACGTTAACGACATCAAGCTTAAGTATGAGGAAACTTGGCGAAATGTCAACGTAAGTAGCCAACATGTGGACTCCTCAGTGATACCTTTGTGACTTTTGTTTATCCTCCAGAATTATGTTGACTTAAATTCGGCAATTCTTTCGATTAATCCCACTGCTCTGGATACATGTAATAAATCAACAATGCTCTTTATTTACATCAAGAGGCTTTTGAGTGAGATTCGACCATTGAGCTACGCTTAGCTGTTCCAAAACTTTCTCCATAAACTTTACAACGATTCCTATCCTCTCAATAAAGTATTAAAAAATAGAAAGAAAACAATATACAAAATGCCGTTGCTGTCATTTCATATAACCAAAACAAACACAAGCAATACACAAACACACTACACTTATACTTGTTAAAAAAAATAAATAAAAATATAAAAAAGAAATAAAAATAAATAAATGATAAAATCAAAACACAAACACGCGGAACCTGCGGTGGACTTCCTTACAGAAGAAGAGTGTTTGGCCCGGGAACAAAGACACTTGCAGCGTCTGCAGGATGTCCGCATCAGCGTGGCGTTCATCTACAGTACGGACTTTTGGGCATTATAGAACTATGATAAAGGAACGTATCCTCCGCAGATGTCAATAAGGAGTACACGGAGCTAAAGGCGGAGAAATTGGAGTTGGACAAGTGGGACGATTACCTAGCCTGCGATGGTATGCCCCGTCCCGATTTTCCCTGTGAGATTCGACACTTTTTGTTCAAGCTGCGGCACGATGAGCGTATGGCGGCCGACGGTGACATTAACTGGACGTTGGCCATCAACGAGCGAAGCATCCTGTCGCATGATCCCAATCGACAGGACTTGACCCGCCGGAACCTGATGGTAACTATGAGGCCCGATATCGGCAAGCTGTACGAGAAGACCGTGCAGGGACTCCTGCAAACCCATTTGCGAGTGGAACGAGCTCTGCGAAACGAGGCAGAGCTCCTTAAAATGCCGATTCTGCGAGCCTTGGAGCTGACAAAGGTGACTATATAACATACATAAATATATTTGATGTGAAGCAATTACAAAATATTACTGCTAATTGCTTAGATACCTGCGGAACTGCACAAGGAAATTGAGACCTTCTTTGATAAGCTTGCCTACCGTGTCATCTGCGCTCCCGAAGCCTACATGACGTAAGATTTTCTTAGTTAATCATTCCTCCTCATATTCCTCCTTGAATATTTCACTGTAGAAATACAGGCAGTACGTTAACGTACTATTGCCACAACTGCAGCAACTTTAACTTCCAGATATGGGGCCTGCAGGATGTTCCCATTCGCTTTCAGTATCTGCGGTAAATTAATGTTTCCATTTCCATTTTGGTCGTATGTATTTGTTTGTTCTCCACTAGACTGCCTTTAATATATTCGGATCTAAAATGCATTGAAGCCACCCTTCAGCTGCCACTCAGTGTGCTTAGTGACAATCTAACACTGCGTTGTGTGCACACCTTCTTCGATCCTTTCTCTCACCTGGCCAAGAGCTACAATTTAAGTCTTGATACCGATACCAATCCCACTTGTGGCATGCCGGAAATCGAGGATAGTCTGTTGAGCGAGTGGATGGCCCAGCTTGAAATACAGGATCAGTTGGTAATGAAGATGGAGGCGCAGATGGAAGCCTACAATACAACCATGGCGTGAGTGCAATTATCCGAGTGTCAGCTTATATATATTATATTTTTGTAATATTTCCCTGTTTTTAGGGCCATTGAAGCTGCAGTAGCGGCAAAACAAAAGAAACAAGCTGACAATGTGAAAGGACCTCCAGTGCCAAGAGCTCCAAAGATGCCGCTGGCTATACCGGAGGGCCAGTTACCCAATCCCTATCCGTTGTTCCTCAAACAGAGTAGGCAAGAGTGCACCGATTTCTTCAATGAGAACTTCCATCCCGACAACATCAATCTGCTGGAGCATGAGGTGATGCATTCTCGGGGCTTTGGGTTACCTTTTCAATATATTTATATATATGTCGTAATAATAGGTCAACCTGCGGCGCTACATGATTGTGGGAGGTGTTATTTCGATAGTGTTTGTGCGGAAACCGCGGCACACCGCCTTCGAGAAGTTCAATCTGACACTGCACGAGGATGGGCGCGTATTGAAAGTGGTTCTGGACCAACTCAATTGCAGCAGGCATACCTCCTCGTCTGGCCAGGCCGAGGTGGAGCGGGGGTCCACACGCCAGAACATCGAGATGACTGACTCCGATCTCAAGCTGCACCTGGAGTCGGATGAGTTGCCATTTTACTTTCTCACCTTTAAGGTGCCCAAGAAGTTATGCCTGTGGGCCGATCCTATGGTCTGCCAGTTTATCGAGGAGGAGGTCGAGATACCTTCGATTGAAGAAGAAGTCGATGCGTTCGATATGGAAAAGAAGAACAAGAAGAAGCGCGGCCGGAAGGAGAAGCTGAAGGAGGCGGCGTCAAGGTCAAGTGGTGGTAAGCAAAGTGACGAGGCACCAAGTGGGAGAGGGTCAACGCAACGCCAACTGAACCGAGCCTCGGCCAACATTTACAGAGAGAGCGCGCTAGACACGATACGGAAAAGCCACATTGACACTGAGCTAATAAGTATTGACTCGGTGGAAAACTTTGTGCTAAATATAGAGCCTCTCACTCGGTCGAGGGCGACCCTGCTTAAGAAGCTATGCATCCCGCGGATTATATCCTCATTCAAGTTTCCGCAGGAGTTCAAGGACGAGCAAACGGAGGAACAAACCACCAAAAAAACCAATGGTCCCATCTATCGGCGACGATTGGCAGAATCTATCACTGCCGAAGATATCAAAGAGTTCTCTCTCAACTACGATGATCAAACTGAACCCGAGCGACTTTATCCTCTGTTTCAGAGCCCAGTGGCTTCTAAGAAAGTAAAGAAATATGATATCGCTTCTAGGAAGGCGGAAGTCTCTAGCTTCCTTCACGATAACCTATTTGCGTTGATAAAAACCCTGGATGAGATCAAAGAAAAGTACGAGGAAAGCCCCAAGAAATTGGAGGAACAAACTGTGCCGCACGCCATTAGAACGCCCAAACGTCGTGTTTCTGAAATGAGGGATATCTCTAGTCGAGCTTCTACCAGGGGTAATCTACTTATACGAAAATCGGGCAGCATTGAGCCGGACATTGATATAGAAAATAGAGAGTCCGATACCGAAACCAATGCATATCCACGAAAGTCAAGGCCAATGAGTGTAGCACAAATCGAATTTCCTCGCCGAATCATCGAAGGTCCTCGCCCCAAACCCAAAAAAGTCAAGCACTGGACCACCGAATATATCCTGCAGTCGAACTATGACAGGGAGAGCAAGATCCTGACGGTGAAGACAGACCGCCTGGGTAACTTTGGGTTCGCCTTTCCGCGCTACACCCACTTTCCATTCCGTGACTGGTACCTGGGGGCGAACGAGGAGAAGTAAGAGCTCAATGAGCTGCCAAGAGATAAGTTTTAATGTATTGCTTTCGCAGTCCCGATGAGATCTTCTTCACCCTGGACACTTTCCATTGCCGGGTGGTCTTCATCATAAGCAAGGATGGCATCCGAGGATATGCGATTGATGTGCCCAAGGAGTACATTGCCAAGCCGTTCAGATATATTGATATCGAGAAGCCCGTTGCAGATTTCGTCGAGCTGCGCAAGGTAATCAATTAAATATTAATGACTTGAAAATGTATAACTAATTGTTATTCCCACAACAGCTCTTTCAGGATAATAATCTGAATGTGTTTGCGGAGATTGACGCATATTTCTACATTGACCAGGACTACTTCTCTCAGAAGCATCTGGCGGCGGAATTGCACATCTACGACGCAATGACCTTGCACTGCAAACTGCTGAAGTTCAAACATAGTGACTGGAACCGTTTGGCCACGGACAGGGATATCGTGCTCTGTCTGCGCAACTACCGGGATTCCCTAGAGATTGGAGATATCACCGTGCGGGTCACACCGGAGGCTTCGACCTTTGTGGAGGTTTCAGAGCTTTGCTCGGAGAACCTTGATGTCTTCAACTTGCACTATGAGTCTACCTGGCGCAACATGGGGGTAAGAGGTTTCTAGAAGAATAATATAGTAGAATTTATTACTAACTTGTTTTTTCCTGTATAGAACTACTCGGATCTACATCAGCTGATCAACTCCATGAATCCGAATGCAACGGACGCTCAAAACCGGGATGCCGGGCAGATGTTCTACCTCCGCAAACTCCTCGAGGAGATCCGACCCCTGAGCTTCGCCTAGCCCTGACGCTTCTTAAATTGTGACACCCCAAAACAAAGCAGACATAAAAAATGCATACACTTCTAAATTAACTGCAATTAAAATAAATTGCCAACGGACATTGTTTTGTATAACTCTCATTGGATTCGCTTAAGTGGCTTTTCCACGCCAACTGGTTGGGACTGGAAAGATTTAGTGATGGCCTGGAGTTATTATTCTACATTCTCCGATGGCTATGCTGTCTTTTCAGCTTTCCGGCTACTTTCTGGCGGTCGTCGCTTTGGCCAGGATTGATTATGTCTTGGCCGAGGACGTTAAAATAGATGTGGATAAGCTAAGAAAACTTGTGACAACTTCTCCACTGCATACACGTGTCGTAGGGGGCTCGGTGACCACCAATGGGAAACTCGGAGGCTACTTAGTACAACTACATTACATGGACGATTTCATCTGCGGCGGCTCTTTGATTCACGATCTTATAGTCCTGACGGCGGCCCACTGTTTCATAGGCAGGCCGCATATACAGGAATGGATGGCTGTCGGCGGCGCATCCACACTTCACGAGACTGGAGAGCGCCGTCGGATAAAGGAGATGATCAAACCGCTTTCGTTTAACGCCACTTCAATGAACATGGATGTTGCCTTGCTAATGCTGAAGAAACCGATGAAGGGAACAAATATTGGCAAGCTCAGCCTGTGCAAACAGCCCCTGAAAAATGGCAATCTGCTGACCGTTTCCGGATGGGGTATGACCGATTCAGAGCAGACCGGCCCACAGGAACTGCTCCGTACGGTTCAAGTGCCAGTTATCGACAAGAGGGTATGTCGCTCTGTTTATCGATCAGCGGGTAAGTTCTGGGTTATCTTATCATGTTGTCCATTTTCTCATTTTGTTCATTATACCCTTGCAGAGTTTTGTAATTTGTAGTCAGAAGTAAGAGTAATTTCCGCCCCTATAAAGTATAGAATTTCTTGATCAGCATCAATAGCCGAGTCAATCTATACATTTTGGTCTGTCTGTCCGTTTGTCTGTCCGTTTGTCCGTCCGTTTGTCCGCCCGTTTATCCGTTCGTTTGTCCGTTCGTGTGTCTGTCCGTTTCTTAGTTTCTAAGCAAACTTGTCACTCAGTTTTTAAGCTTCCTGAATGAAACTTTATAGTTAGTCTTTTATGTATTCTCCTCACTTACATATAAGTCGGAACGAGCCCGATCGGAGTACTATATCATGTAGCTACAATAAAAAAGATCGGGTGATTTCAATTTTATGTATGAATATCGGATGAGTTTATCATATATCCGCCATAGAAACTACAGGCAAATGTATAGGGAATGTAGAACTGTAAATCTAAATCTGTGATTATAAAACTTTAAATATCATATGTGAATAGGCATTAGGCATTACATGCATGTTTTTCAATATAATTATATCGAATTCATATTGTATTAGATATGAAAAGATTAAATTGCTATTTGCAAGGATAAACAAACTTTGACCTATTGCTCAATTATGTTTCCTTTCCTTGTCATTTTGTTCCTTTTGTTGATTTTGTGAATTTTATTTTTGAATTATTATTATCATATTGTTTGTTTATCACTATGTTCATGTTATTTATTTTTTATAGTTTATTAATTTTCTTTTATTAATTTTATTAATTTCATGTAATATATTTGACTCTTTTTTATTAATTTAATTTATTTTAAGTACTTGTCTTACTTGTTATATTAAAAATAATATAAATTCTAAAAATTATGAATAATTGATATAAATTTACTGCATTTTATATAGTTGAATTATCGGATACCATGTTCTGTGCTGGAGTGCTGGGCAAACAGGATGCGTGTGTCTTCGATTCTGGTGGTCCGATAGTGCGCAATAAGGAGGTCTGCGGTATCGTGTCCTTTGGCATCGGTTGCGCCGGCAATCGTTACCCTGGCGTCTATACGGACATCACCTACTTGAAGCCTTTCATAGAGAAAAGCATGAAGGCGCTTTTAAAGGAATAAAGAAATGTACTAATGATTACCAATTGATTATGCCTTAAATTGAATGTCATTGCTCTGTCCTCCCATCCTCTAGGCGGATCGGAACTATCCTTAGGCATCCGAGAAGCCTCCAAAAATGTTATATAACGATATTGCTGTGAAGTAATGAATAAATACCATAAAATATTTATTTAAATAGCATTGGTCTCAGTTTCTGCTTAATTGTGTCTGAAATTTGACAAAGAACTGATTCAATTAACTGCCTTTGGTCTCACTTAATTCACAACGCTGGTTGGACATCTCATCTGGGAAAAGAAATTTGTTCCATTACTTGTTAAATATGCAACGCCTATTGACCTGCCTGCTGCTTGCTGTCATTGTGCAAGGAACGGTAGCTTTCGGGTGGAACCCTGTCCGGGTTAAGGATCCTAACGACCCCAATTTCGTGAGACGTGTCATTGGCGGCATTATGACAAGCAATGCGGAGCTTGGGGGCTACATTGTGGCGATGCGCTACTATGACATGTTCGCCTGCGGCGGCACACTGATCCAGGAGACGATAGTGCTAACAGCAGCCCATTGCTTCGTTAACCGGGAGAAGAAGGATCAATGGGACTTTATTGGCGGCATCTCCAATCTTAACGAAATGGCAGAGCGACACAAAATGAAGGATATGATTATTTCGCCAGATTTTCGCCCCGAAGATTTGTACTCTGACGTCGCCATCGTGCTATTGAAAAAGCCATTGGTGGGCAGAAATATAGGCACAGTTTCGCTGTGCACCACGGAGCTAAAGCCGGGCATGCCGGTGGTTGTCTCCGGATGGGGCCTCACCAGAGAAGGCGCCAAACAAGAGAATTACCTACGAACCGTCACAGTGCCAGTTATCGATTGGGAACAATGTCGGTCGAGCTACAACAGAACAGGTGAGTAAGAATTATAATAATTATTATTATTTTACTTTATGGCATTACTTTTTCTAATTTTGTTTTGCGTTTTTAGAAGTCATTTTATCACACACCATGATCTGCGCCGGAGTTCGTGGGAGTAAGGATGCTTGTCTTTATGACTCTGGTGGTCCATTGGTTTACAACAAGGAAATCTGCGGCATAGTGTCCTTTGGCATCGGATGTGCCCATAAAAATTATCCTGGAGTCTACACCGATGTCAGAGTTATGAAGCCATTCATTGAGGAGAGCATTGAGCGGTTGCTGAGTCTTAAATATTTAGCAAGAAAATAAATTGTTAAATCGCTGGCACTCGTGCCATTTTCCGCTTAATTATGGCTGGCATTTAAGCGAATCTGAATTTTGGTCGGTAACTGTCAATCAAATGTGGTTATCCAAGGACTCCTGCCAATGAGCACTTTACATCGGATGGAGGACCATCGTAGTCGGTGGTAGTATAATAAGCATTAAGGAGCTGGAAGGTTATTACAAACAATATGCTGTGCGCATGCGCGTTGGGGCAATGAGCGCAATGCCTGCGACGCCGACTCCAGAAGTTCTTTAGTTTAAAGAAAGCAGTTCTGTAGCATCGTATCCTTTGGCGTCAACGTAAATGTCTTTAATGTAAAACCCTTGATTTCGAGGACCATTGTTGCTGTGACAGCGTTAAATAAATCCCATGGTTTCGCAAGTCTAAAAACAAAATTGGTCTCGCTTTCGGTCTGCTTGGGAATCGAAGTTGGGAATCGTCTTGGTACTCCAAGTGTGAAATTCTTCATAGGAAAATATATACCATTTATTTATTTGATGGAAAATACATGTAGTTGTGAAGTATCCCTTAACCGAGAAACTTGGTTGGACAGAGTTTAAAGTAAAACAGTTAATGTTCCTTTAAATCTAACTATGACTTTCTTGCACTCAAGTTTTTCCGAATACAAAACGTTGACTGCCTTTGATCTTAGTTGATTAAAAACGCTCCCGGAAAGAAGTTTTTTCTGTTATTTGTTATTAATTGTGACTGACATTCGCCAACTGTCAATCAAATATGTTGAACCAACGACTTCTGTTCATTTTTCTGCTGATAAGCACTCTGCTATGCATGCAGGTCCTTGGTCAGGATTACAATGACACCAATTCCACGGTCATTCCGCGCGTAGTCGGTGGTGATGTAGTTACCAATCCGGATATTGGCGGTTACCTTGTGGCTTTGCGCTACAACAACACCTTAACATGCGGTGGGACTCTCGTTCATGACCTTATTGTCATCACCGCAGCCCACTGCTTCAATGATTCGATGAAGATGGATAAGTTGGTTGCCATTGGCGGCGTCTCCACGATCGACGAGACAGGGGTACGCCGACATATTGAGAACTTTATCAAACACGACCCCATTGAGATGGACGTTGCCGTGCTACTCCTGGACGGACCAATGGTGGGCAATGGGATCGGGAAGCTAAAGCTCTGCAAGACGCCCCTTATGGTCGGCATGAGCTTGACCGTCGTTGGATTTGGTAAGACCTCAAAACAAGGCACTGGACCGAGCAAATACCTGCGAAAAGCCATAGTGCCCATTGTTTCCAAGGAATATTGTACCAAAGCCTATCGCGAATTGTGTGAGTGAATCAATTTTGGTTACTGTATAATTCTCCAAATTATTGTTCAATTTGCCTTCCCAGCTATCCAAATTACGAATAGTATGCTGTGCGCCTCTGCGATGGGAAAGCGCGATGCCTGCTTCATTGACTCCGGAGGTCCATTGGTTTTCCAGAACCAGCTATGTGGCATAGTATCCTTTGGGGAAGGATGCGCCAGCATCCGATATCCCGGTGTCTACACGGATGTCAGATACGCAAGATCCTTTATCATAAACAGTTTTAAAAGCTTGATGCAAAAGAGGAAAAGAAGTCGCAATCGATCGTAGCTCTTAGGGTAATTTTTGTGGTGGGATACTCTAGGTTCTTTGAGCGTGAAGTTACTTATATGAAAGAAAATGGTATTCTTTGGCAACTACTGGGAATTTTAATCTGATTTTATTTTATTTAAGAAGTAGACATAAGTTGTGAGTTAACCTTAGCTAAAAGACTTGGTTTAATAAAGATTTTTAGGAACGTCTGAACAACTGATATGCAAAACAGTTAATGTATCATTTAATTTTCGAATGACTTTCCTTTCTACCACTCATGTTTTAACGAAAACAAAATGGGACAACACTTTCGGCGCTAATTGTTGTCATTATTGGCAAGTTTTCGAAACTTTCGCGCCAACATTCGATGGTGTTGTTTTGGGACCCTTTGGCCATCGACTCTTTTGGGCCGTTGCGTGCAGGCGGACGACGGCAGCTCCTTGCTGATCATTGACTGATTCCATAATTGATTGGACCCAAGACGCTGGGATGCTGTGCTGCCGGTATGCTCCGTTGTGATGCTGGTCTCCAGTCCCAGATATTTTTAGCCGTGGGGCACAATTTTTTAGAAACGGCGTTGGTCCTCGACTGCGCAGTACTTTTACTTTTGGGCCCGTCGACGAGCGGCAAAATGTAAATTAGCCATCGAGGCTACCTAAAATTTATGTGGCAGGCCCTCCGATCGCATGACTGACGGCCTTTCGTCCTCCGAAATCCAGCGTCTTTTCGAATTAGTTTAATAATACAATTAATTGTTATTTATAGCTTCCTTTGCGCATCGCAAACGCAGCATTTAAGGGGAGAGATTTGTGTTTCTTTTAGCCAGACGCTAGTTTAAGGCACGCAAGGGTATATATTTTCGTTAAATTTTTCTTTGGGGCTACAGGTAAGAATCCCTTAACGGTTTGCAGTTGTGCCTAATGATAGACCTGGCCATGGCAGTGACGTGGGTGAAGGATGTCCGTCGCAACGGAGGAGGACTCTGCTCCTCTTTGCTACTCCTGGATGCACCACAGGATACTGGCCCCATGGCAGAACCAGCATAAATATTCCCGAAATGACACAATTCAGCCTTCTTCCCGCGGCGCTGCTTCGCATTAAGTTTATTTATCTGCTTTTAAATGGCATTTTCACTTGCATATAATTCTCGTTCTGCGTGTAATGCGCACCAGAAACAAAGGCAACATAATGTAACAGCCGCCGGAACAGCACGAAGATGCCCCGATGCCCAGATGCCCAGAGATACCAAGCTCCGTGCTCCATGGCTGCCATGACTACCATTTACCACTACTATTTTTAGTAGTGTCATAAATTTATGGCACATTGTGGCACAGACTCAGCAGAGCGGTCCAGCTCACGTGGAGCAGCTGGATTCTGGAGACTGGAGGTGGGATTGAATCGCATCTTGGGCTGACATGCAAAACAACATGCTAGCTGGCACCTACTTGGCCAATCTAGAGATTTAGAGATGGGTTCTGGTTTTTGGGCACCAGTGCTGCCAAGTCTATACACACGCTTCAGAGGGAAAAAGTTTAAAACATTTTTATACCTGGTGCCCATCGGGAGTGCTGAACATATTGCTAGTAAAATTTGTCCTTCTTAGAGTGCTGCGTAGCATTTGTCAAAATTTTCTTCTGCCTTTCTGCTTGTTTAATTTAAGTTTTTTTTTTAAATCTTAGCTTTTCTAGATATACATATATGTGTAGGGAAGGTAAGGTCAAGGTTTGTACAGGATTGGGGTTTTAGAATATTTGCCAGAGGAGTGTCTTAAAAATATCTTTCTTTTAAACATAAGTACTTATGTATGTACCGCCAGCACTGCTGGGAAATGTCTCCATGCGATTTGGCAATCAAACAAATCAAAGAGGTAGAGCGGATTCGGTTACACCGGTTTTATAGATCCCATTTCGGATCTGTTAATTAAAAGATACACACGCCTTTCAATAGAACAGAAAGGCAAACAAATCTCCGCACTGGGCAAACACACTGGATCAATAGCGGCACTCTGTGTATCTAAGAGATACATTTGTTGGTTTTACGATGCGCTCACTGTTTCGACTCGGAGTGTTTGCATGCCTTGAAAGCCAATAAAATTTGTTGTTAATTGTTTTGGTAAATTGAAAATTAGGTTTTGGGAAAAATCATCGCTCAAGTATGCGTGGAACGAGTTCAGGTTCGTGTTTTAGTTCAGGTTCGGGGTTTTCGTGTTCGGCGCTGGTTTTATGTCTCTGCTGTTTGCCCAGCGCATTAACTTGGCCACTTTTAATGAACTTTGTGAGTGGAAACATCTGCCGCCATCTCCGATCTTGCCCCTTCCAAACGAGACAAATCGAATCGTTTTGCCCAAACCGAGCTGAACTCAACTTTAATCGGCTTAAATGTAATTTAACTTATTTCTATGACTTTTACCCCCGTCCACAGTCGGCCCTCGGTTCCACCAGAAATCGGTTAATTAAAGTTTAACAAAGTTCCAAGCCGATTTCATGGCGCGTTGAATCGACAAATTGTAAACTTTTCATACTATCCAACTAAAAAGGGGGGCCCAGGGGCGGACCATCATTTGTACTTACTTAAGTGCTTGATCATGCTGATATCATCACCTGGCAACTTTCCTTTATGCCCTACCTGGCCACAATGCAATTAGCGGGAGTCTGTGGACACCAGGTGGTCCCCCAATCCTCAGACCCCAGAGTCCCGAGGTCTTCAGTCTCCATCTCGCATCTCCATTCTCTCATCGCCGCTGTGACCCGCAATCTTTAAATCGAAAATCACCAAGAATCTAAAGAGAAATAAATACAACGAATGTAATTTGTATTACATTTGCAGCAGAAATTAAGGCTGGGTAAATTAAGACGAATATGGAATTCCCTTTATGGCATTCGCAAAAGGATTAATTAGAGTTTATTTGTTATAACAAATTGAGATGATTTTAAAAGTACATATATAGTTTATATGCAAATAATATAATAGATGTAGGATATTACATTTTGTCAGCTTACTATATATAAATTTTTGAAAATATTTTATTTATTTTCTTTTTAGTTACATTATTTATATGTTTTATTTAACCTTTCTCATCCCTTCTGATTTACCCCAATTGTAAAGAGCATCGCAACCTCAAAAAATCGAACCGCTGTGTTGACAGTTATTGATCGATGATATTGTAAACACAATGTTGAAATTAATTTTTATTTGGCTCTCCGTTTTGGTGCTTTTCTCCGACCCCCAGTGATCTTGTACCTTCAATTGTACGAACTCATTGTGTTGATTTGTAATTGACTTTTATTTTGACTTCAGCGTTTGCTCTTAATGGGTTCGCTTAAGCCCTCCCTCTAGTGCCTCAGACTGGCCCATTTCCTCCACCTTGCACCTATGTATTCATTTACCTTTCCATTCGCGTTATCAAAGGGAGAGCTCAACGGTCCAATAAGTGACACTGACTAATTTGGAACCATTAATCTCCGGGCTGCTTAGCGTCACTCATGCTGGTCGGGCAGCCATCAATACGCATCAAAATCGAATGCGAATTGTGCATGTTTACAGGCACAGAGATGCATTCACAGCTGGGGTCACAAAAATAGTTCAAATTATATAAATGTCTGTTAATTTATATAATAATAAGAATAAGAGGTTTGTGAAGGTTTCAAATATTTGATATAAAAATAGTTTTAGTAAAAGGTTCCAAGTTAAGAGGTTCTTTTGTTTGATAGGATCAAAAATCAATTACATTTATTTATACTTAACATTTAGGAAATAAATCTAAGCTAGTCCAAATGTAGTTCAACTATCCCGATTATATGCATTTTCTGTGTCTGTAGTCCATAAACAAAATTACATATTTAAGCTTGTGGTTTGTAAAAATCATTGTAATTTATGGCCACAGACATAAGTACTAGTTTTAAGACGCCAGCTGTGGCAGTACAGCCTCCATGACGAATGTGTGACCACTGCGTCTCGGTTGGGTGTCGGTCTTTTGGTGTCTCTGATTTGCCTCCATTTCTAAGCCCAGTCAGTGCCCATATCCAAGCCCGTTCCGACTCTCTCAAGTCCATGTCCAGCCCATTCCCGTTTCCCATTTCCGCGGACATTCGAGTCGAATGTGGTTGTGGACGTGGATGGGAATCTGGACGTAGACGTGGACGTGGACGTGGATGTGGACAAGGCGCACAATCAAGCCGCGTGTCTGGCAGTCAACTAGTCACTCACTTTGCTCGGAGACTCTGGACTGCGTCAGTCCGTCAGTCAAATGCTCGCTTTAATTTCGCTCCCCAAGCGATTTGCTATTGCACAGCAAGAAATGTAGTCTTAACATAATCTAATATTTGTTTCTTATAAGAAAAATTTATGTAATACATTAGTGATTATATAACATTTGCACAAATATAAAATAATTGGTTCCTAGCATATTAACATTGTTTAATTTTGCTAATGAAGAGTACCCCTTATCATATAGTTCATAAGTAAATTAAACTATATTCTTGATGTAAATGAATGTTATGTACGGATATGTTCAGCTTATATCCTATTATTAATAAATTATTTAGAAATATTTAATTTTATATTACCTATATTTAATATCTATAATATTCCAGATATGCACAAGTATCTTATCTTTTGTTTCCGTGTAGATCCGCATGAGTTGCTGGGGCTGCATGACTAACGGGCATAATTTCTGGCCAAGCCAACAAAATATTGGTCCGAAATGAACACATTGCCAGGTTGGCGGCCCTGCGCACGCGCACAGTTGTTGCCCGATCTCGCCGAGAGGCACTTCCGTGGATCCCTGCTCCCTGCTCCCAGCTCCCAACTCCCAACTCCTCGCTGTGGTTCGCTTTGGCCTAGCGACACTCGTAACCGCAGGGCGACGGCACAGCCCGTTTTCGATTAACGATGACCGCCGTCGAGGGTGAGGACGAGGACGAGGACGTGGCTGAGGAAGTGGCCGTGGACGGAGCGGATGGAGGCAACTTGAGCGTGTGCCAGCCAAGCGAGATGGAGCTGGATGGCCAGCCGATCACTCGCAGAGCTAAAGCTAGACTACACTGGGGGAAAGAGTATTGAGAAAGTGAATTACAGTATTTTAAATTGGATATGGATTTAGTTATTTAATTAAATTTTATACTAGTGATAGTTTGTTAGTTATTTATTTAATTCAAATTTATTCTGTTGATACAGGAATGATCTTATATTTGTTACACAAGTCAAAATTGATATGGATTTGTGTAATTCTAAATATATATATATATAGATATACATTATTCAGTTTAATAACAACTTTAATAGTTTCACTTCTGGATATTAAATATCTCTCAGATATTTTTTTATTTATGTATGTATCTTTTTGATTCCTTACATTATTATTTTAAAGAAAGTAAGAATTATTTTATTTATTTCGCAATTTCCTTATTTTATTTATACATTTTTCTGCCAGTTCAAGACCGAGTGGAGGACTGAGTCTGCGGCAACGCCTTCGGTTTACATTTTACAATCCTAACAAGGTTAGGCCGGCCGATAAATGGAGCTGCACTCGTTTGGTTATAAGGCTAGGTTGGGCCCGAGCTGGAGTTGCACTTGGAGCTGCAGTTGTTGCTGGAAGTGCAGCTGATGAAGCTGACGGTTGGGGATTGGGGATTGGGGATCGCAGCTAGGAGCTGGAGAGGTGGCACATGCCTAACCAGCAAACCATACTGCTATGCAAACACACACACACTAGGCGGCGGGTTGGTAGTACCTCCGGTGCTGGATGGTGGCCATGGCTACGAGCTGTACATACGGAATTGCACATTAAAAATGAGCAATGGGAGTGGGCGGCGGGCGGCGAGGCGGTTAAATCGAGCCGAGCGATGTCTTTTTCTGTGGCAGAACAAGGTTGGCCTGGACGGCGAAGCCGCTGCCACTGTCAATGCACTGAAAGAATTTTTATTATTTGTGTTTTAATAATTTAAACAATTATTGTCTGGCTAGTAAAATAAGTTGAGGTACTTATTTAGTATTAAAACAACAGTTAGTGTATCTCTATTGTTTTGAAAATTCTACAGTTTAATTCACTATCCTGAAATAATAATGATAATACTCAAATATTAATTTGTGATAATGCAAATTTTTTATAAAAATTTCTCACTGTGCATCGGGAACTCGGTTTAATGCAATTCAGGCGAAAGGCGCACAAAGGGACAGCGAACAAGATGCCGAGTTGCTGATTGTGCGGGCAGCGACGTCAGCCCAGGCCGAGGCTGAGGCAGAGGCAGCCGCAAGAGCTTTTGTCGCCGCCACAAACATGGAATATGACAAGCTGGCGAGGAGCAGACTGAGCAGAGGGGCTGGTGCGGCATGCAAAGCATTGTCAAGTGGGGAGCAGGCCAAGTGCTACACAAAATTCAAGCGACAAAGAAACGTCGCAGAACGCTGCCGACGCACGTGAGATGTGGATGCAGTTAGTACAGTGAGAGAAAAAATGGGGACAAAATATTTATTTTCAAATTATTATTTGTTAGTTATTGGTTGGGCAATTTAATATTGTATTTGTTACTATACTTAAGTAAAATGGACAAAAGTGTAGGAAATATATATTTATGTTTATTTTAAAGAGCCTTATATATTACTTTAATATTCAAATAAATAATTAAATATATTCTCGTTCAACTTAGATCAATTATTATTTCATAATTTAAAATTAATACAATACGATTGGCAAACACCAAAATTTAATTAAAATAGTACTGAGATGAGATGAGCTGAAAGCAACTAAAAATTTTATAGATTTAGATTTAGCAGAATCTTAATTTATGAATTAAAAAATAGCTGTCGATTTTAAAGCAGTTGTAAAGCCGCTTGAAAGAACTCTTGAAAAAAGTAGAGCGCCAAGGTTTAGTCACTATCGTCTGGTAACTGATTTAATTTTTATTTTTGTAAAAAATTTATAAAACTACCTTTAGGGATTTGTCTTGGAGCCTCATATTTTTCGTTCAGTGGTGTATTCAAGTGTGTGTTTTGCGTTGGCTTCCCTGTGTGGGCAGGAGAAGGAGAAAGAGAAGGAGATATACCAGGAGAGAGCGAGCTAGCAAAAGACAATGGCGACAATAAAAATGCGATCGCACAACATGCTCCAGAGATAAGTTAACGCAAAGTGACAACGTACAACTTTTAATGGAATTGTCGTCGCTGGCGGGTTAAGGGGTGGGTCGCGGGGAGTTTCAGCCACGGGGATAGGGATATGTATATGACATGGAATATGGCCAAGGAGTCGCCGCATTTGGAGCGCTGCCAAGCCGACTGAGCCATGTTTGTTTTGGCTTTAAGGACACGTCGGGAAAGGGACCTTCAAAGGCTTTCGGCTAAGGGGCTCTTTTGAAATGGGAAGTTCTGATCAGAAGTGGGCGCAGCCGCTTGGCCCACACACCCACACTCACGATCACCGATCGGTGATCGAACATTGGCAATCGGCGATCGGCGGCCACGAGCACGAAGATCGCCTTCGGCAGCTACTGTGGCACATGCCGAGGCGGAACCAACGAGAGAGAGGTCCGAGTCGGGGTTTAGTGAGTTCTCAGAGAGCTCTCGCAGCAGTGTTGATCGATTTTAAAGTTAAAATAATAAACCAAATTTAATTAAATAATTAAATTTAATTTAAGTAGAAAATCTATAAGTATACATGGGGAGAGCAAAACAGAAATTGCTATTAATTAAGAATTATTAATTATTACCCACCATTCCTTTTTCCATTCCTTTTAGTTTCAATTGATTTTTAATAACATTCCATTAATGAAATAACATTTCCAATAGTAAGTTAATATTTGCTAAAGGTAACCTAATCACATCGCCGCGATCCGAGTTTTTAAAAACAATTCACATGGGTTTTGGGACGCACCTGAAGATCTGTCTAAACTAAATTTTTCAAGTTGTTGCACCTTAAAATAGCTGTGTTTTCATAAGTAAAATTAGATAAACCGGCATCACTGTTTCCCCAACCTGCTCCCGTTGGAAAATTGCAGTTGCAGCGGCCCACGCTTCCAATTGGAGCAGCTTGGGGGCTCTCTCTCAATCTCTCTCAGTATTTACTCGCTCTCATCCCCTACGCTGCGCTATACTGGTCTTTCTGGTTTCTGGTTTGTTTACGATTTCAGCTGGAAGCGAAAGAGAGCCGCCAAGCGAGCTCGGTTCCACAGCGATCGCCAGTTTTCCAATAAACTTGCACCGAGCAAGACCTGTGTGCGCGCGTGTTGGAAAGTGAAGATTCTAAAATCACAGAAACCCTGCCAAAAAGTACGAAAAGTTTCGACAAGTTTCGGAAAGTGTGATTGCGAAAATTGCGAGTAGAGCAAAACCATAACGAAATAGTTGCCAAAGTGATCGGATCGATATCGATAACGCGATCGCATCGATGTGCGCGTAGTGGTGCGACGCGTATGATGAGCCTGACTGTGCTCTCGCTGCCGCAACGTTTCAAGCGAATCCTGCAAGCCATGATGCTAGCCGTGGCCGTTGTCTACATGACGCTGCTGCTCTACCAGAGCGCCTACGGATATCCGGGCATCCAAGTGAGTTCAGTAGAAGATCCAGTGCGGTCCAAGTGCGTGGGCGCTTAGACCGAAGACCGAAAACCGAAGACCCAGACAGAGAACGAGACCAAGACCAAGACCGAGAGCCTCGAGAACGGTGAAAACTGTCATACGCGACGACGGTGATCTGCATAAGTTTTGCCCCGCACACAATTTGCATGATCCCCGCCGATCCCTGCTCCTCCGGTTCCCTGCACTTTCATAAATCAACGACGTTTGCAGCTGCGCATGCGTCCGGCATTCGGCGTCCGGCTCCGGCCGTTAAAAAACCTTTTACGCCCTTGCCTTGCATATAAAACAGTTTCGGTTCTGACTTTTTTGTGCGATTTTATACACTAGCCAGGAGGAGTACTATAGGCATTATCAGGAAGGAATATACAGGGGATTTATACTCTAAATTTTATAGCATACGCATTTTGAAAGCGAAATAAAAAAGATAGCTAAGAAATACAATAGAATTACAAAGATAATACAGAAAATGAATAATAAATTTAATATTTATCCTATTCTATTAATATAAATACGTATGTATATTGAGTCTTTAGGAACTAGTCCTAATCTGAGGACAGCTTTTCAATTTTCGAATTTTTACGCCAAAAAAAATGTTGATATCTCAGTAATTTTCTAGAATTCTGTTCAGATCACTGGATTGAATTTAAATTTTCTATCCATTTTAAAATGTTTCTAGAACATATAGTTCTCATAATATAGATAGACCAAAGCAAATCTCCTTTGAATTCAACACTTTGCATCAGTTGTAGTTGTCCTTTTATAACATTTCACTTGTCCTGCTAAGCTTAATCAAATGAGAATCACTATATCCTGTTCCTTGGTAGAGTATACCCAATTTCAAGAGTTAAAGACCCTGCCTTCCATTACTGTATTATTTCTTTTTTTGCCGTCGGCAGAGCGTCGTCAAAGCTTTCAGTTGCTTGATTCCAGGGTCTGTCAGGGTTCTGAGCCCAGTCTTGTCTGCCCGTTTATTATTGTTCTCCTTTTTACTTTGGTTTTGCATAAATTTTTGTGTAATAAAATATTGTGTGCTAATATTACGAACGTGAGGCCACAAGGAGGAGAGGGATCCTGAGGAGGAGGTGGTGGTGGAGGCCAGGTGGGAAAGGAGAGGAGACGTCTCTTGTCAGTCGCATCGCAGATAACAAATAGTTGAGTTCTGTGGGAATTTGCCAAGAGCACCTCAAGTTGCACCTGAAAATAGCACAGGAATTTCGGTTTGCATTCCAATGACACCTTTGATTATGATAATTATTACGCTTTCTGAATACCTTGAAATTAGAGTCAAAAACATGGATTCAAATGGTTCATGTAAAAATATTAATAATAGTTTTTCCCCCCATTTATTAGAAGCTTTGTCTTGACTTGTTTAAGCCTCAGTGGAAATAATACAGATAAAGTTCCATATGAATAATCATAAAGTTTCCTTGCTTTGAGAATAGGTTTATTCCCTTTCCTTCGATCAGCTATCCAACAGCTAAAACGCTCTTCCCCCGTGGCAACATAGTTTAGAGTTTGTAATTGAATCAGCTCCTGCATCCTGTAAATATATCTATGTAATTCCCAGGATTTCAACTCCTTCCTGTTTCTCAATTTGCAACTCAATTGCCCAACTTCTGCGAGCTTGTGTGTGCCCCTTACTCTGGAATACTTTCGCATGTTGCTGCTGCTGGAGTAATTAAAAACTTTATGTTGTTTTAATTCGGACAACGTTGTTGATGTTGCTGCGGATCTTCTGCTGCTGTAGCTGTTGCTGTTTTATTTTACTTCTTGTTCTTGTTGGTTTCTGGAGGTCTAACCGGAAACTCGACAGAAATTAGTGCTACACACATTGCTCTACTAAATGCTAAAATGCTGAGCCGGATTAAAAAACTGCCGACAACCGAACATGGAGCACGGAGTGGCGGTTCGTCGTTGCTCTTTTCAATTGAAGTTCTTCCATCATTTTCAGCCATCGGAGGTCTGTGACTTGTCCCACTTAATTGTTGCTGTTGTCGACCGCAAAACTGCATGCAACGTACAATTTGCTTAATTTTTTTGCAGTTTATTGAAGTGTGTTTTGGTTTTGTAGCGTTTTTTTGTAGCTGTTTCCTAAATGTTGCGCAAAAATTGCTGTTTGTTGACTTTGCTTGTTCGAATTCCTCGAACTGTTGAACAGTTGACTGGACACAACGCCACTAAACTTGGGTTCGGCATTCGGCTGATAAAGCAATAATTTCGAGATTAGCTGGAGGGCAGGATAGGTCCCACCAACTACACCCTACTCCACCCAGTTCCAAGCTCCAAGCTCCCAGTCACAGTTTGCCAGTTCCCTGGTATCCATGTCTCATGTCCAGTTTGCTGCTCACGTCCACGGATCGCCATGTCGCGTGTGTCTGACGCATAAATCATAAACGAAATGAATAATAATCGTCAAACGATTTGGTTGTTTATGAATTTGTTTAAAGTGGCGCACCGAATGGCCATCATTGCTGATTGATTCGAGTTTGTTGTTGTGGTTTACACATAGAGATATAACGATGTATGTATGACTTGTATTTAACTATTGACAATATTATTACTAGGAATTTAAAAATTGCAATAAAGTAGGAAAGCCAATAAATTGAATTGATAGAAATTGGCATGAAGTTTGGTTACAATAATATGTTACATTACAAAGAGTAATTAAAAGGGTTCTTATAAATAATAATTATATATTACCTTGAATAGATTGATATACAATAAATAGTTAAAGGGAATAGTTAAAAGGAATTTTTGTAAACACCTTCTTCAATAACGCATACTTAATAGTAAAAGTTGTCTTAAAACTAAATATTTTAAACAATTTCCCAACCTCCCCTTCCTGGCTTTTAAACCCCATTGTTGTTGTTGTTTTTTTTTTTTAAGTGCAGGGTAAATACATAATAACATTAACAAACTCTTGAGTTGAGGAGCATGCAAATCAGCTTCAGGAAGGCAAGGCACAGCCAAGAAGTCTTCCCCAAAGACAAAGCCAGCAGTGACGAGGTGATTCCTGTTTTTGGCCAGGCCAAGAGCAGGTGCCTGTGCTTCCCATGGCCAACCGGCTGCAGCTGGCTGGCAGCTCCAACTCCGACTCCGACTCCCTTTGCCTGCTCCAAACCTGCCTCCTGTTTCTTGTACATATAATCGGGCCGAAAAAGTTGACGACATTAAGCTGCAGAAGGCGCCTGATAAAAGGAGTATCTGCAGCTGGGCTCCCGAGTATCTGGGCAACCAAGCATCCGAGTATCTCGGTATCTTTTGGTGGTCGCTTAATTGAGCCTGGCTGGCTGGCTGGCTGCTTGTGGGCATCTTATCTTAGATCCGTATCTTACGGATAATATTGTTAAACAGCATTTAATGAAGATTTTCCCGCTCGCCCAGCTGGAGTCGCGTCTTTTGATTGCATTTCTGTGTGGAATGCCTTTGATTTTTGATTCCGTATTTCGTTCGGGGTATCGGGGTCTCAACTGATTTATGCTTTCCGTTATGGGACCAGAGTTTAACTCAATTAATCACCGCACAGGTCGCATGGAGTGGATGCCATTTGGCGCCCTTTCATATCACTCGCTCGCACCTCGCCGCCCGATTCTTTTGCTCGTTATTAATTGACAGGGAAATGTTTATAAACATATTAATCACGCGGCTAATGAAGCATTAGTCATTCGAGAGTGGGCGTGGTGGGGGGCTGCGATTGTGCGAGCGTGTTAAATTTGTTTTGGGGATTGGCCTCGCTTTGTATCTATCGGATCGCCTTTCGCCCCGGTACTTGTATCTTGTAGTTCATTACACTGGAGAAAAAAGAAGAGAGGCAGATAATAATTAAGAACTCTAGATAGCTCTCAGTAACTCGAAATGTGAGAGATATTATTTCCTTAAAGTATAAGATTCATTGAAATATTTTCCTGTGTGTACATTTTGTATCTTGTTTCTGGCGGAGTGCGCAGGCGGCCTGCCAATATGGGCACATGTGCGCTGTGCTTGTATCTCCATCTCCATCTCCATCCCAATCTGAATCCGCATCGACTGTCGCTGTATTTGTATCTGTATCTTTGCTTGCTCAGTTCCATCACGTTCGAGTAATTCGCAAATCCCACAAAAGTGTCACAAAGCATGGCTGTTTGTAGTTCGTAGTCCGTGTACTTGATTTGCATACTAGTACGGGCATTCCACTTGCATCATGTCGCGGATTGGGAACTGGCTCACATTCTAATCCAATCCGATCCAATACGATCCGATCCAATCCGAACCTTGAATTTGCGGAGCCAGCTTAATTGAAAGAGGCGTTCACCGCCGACGAACTTATATAAGCCCGCTCGGTGGCTTTCACTGTTTTTCAGTTATCCGTTTTCAGTTTCCAGCTGAATCCCTCACTCAAGTCACGACTTCGTCGCTATCTTTCTTGGCCAAATCGCGACAGTGATTTCCCATACTCGCAATTTCTGCGGCGGCCAAATTAATATTTCAACATTTTAATTGCCGCTGCTTCGGCAGTTCCCAGCAGTTTACACCTGCCACTGTCATCATCATCTCATCGCCGTAATCCCACTCCCATTCCCAGTTCCTCATTAGGGAGCTGCCATTATATTGAACACCGTTTGGCTGTCGATCGTGCGGCAATAAAATTCTATGAGCCCCACTTTGTGGCCCGCTATCGACGAGACAATATCGTGTGAAGCAATATAAACCAGCGGGGTTTTCTATATACATACATATATATATTCTCTAGTTCCTATTCGGAGCGAGAAAAGAAAATTAGGGAACAAAAGAGGGAAGTTGGTGCTAGATTTATAGCGGAAGTTACTGTCCAACTATCAGATTTGCATATACAGAAAGGAAAATATTACAAAATGAAAATCGTTATGTTATATGCTACTTAAGATCATTCTTGATAAAGAAAACATGTCTAAATAAAATTAAAATGCTATCAATTGATATCTTTTGATAGTAAATAATATATGATACATACTAAATTCTCTATTAAGATATTCACTCTTACTTGTTAACTTGATCTTAATTATATTAATTTGAGAAGTCCAACGTCTAAACGAAATAAAAATAAGTTATTCCGGGGTTCACAGTCCTCAATTTCTTCTCTCAGTGTACAAAGAAAGTGCCACAAATGGGCTTTCTTTCTCCCAGGGTATTATCTATTCGAGCTGCTTCCCAGCAACCATTATCTATCCGCCTCAATCAGAGCAATTCACTCCCCACCTGTCCCCATTCCGAGGACGGGGCCCATTAAAAAAGCGCTAGGGGAAATCTTCGCTGCGAAGAAGAGCAATTGAAGAATCGCCGACAACAAAAGCAAATGAACCTGTTATCAGTGGAAATTAATCAAGCAGTTCAGCTCACTCCGGACTCAAAGCAATCTCAGTGCCCCTTCGGATCCCTATGCCATCGCAGTTCCAACTCCAGCTCCAGCTCCAGTCCCGATCCCAGTTCAAATCCCTATCCCAATCCCAATCCCAATCCCAATCCCAATCCCTATCCCGATCCCGGTCTGTGTTTGCTCTTACTCAGCATTTATGGCGGTGTTGCTGTTGTTTATTCTGCCTGCTGCCGCTCATTTGTTTGCCATTGTTGTTTGCCATTGAAGTTCGCCTTTGTTTGCCAGGTGAAAATGCTTCAAGTAGAGGTAAAGTGAAGTGAGGTAAGGTGAGCTGAGCTGAGGAGTGGGAGTTCCCTCTTCGAGTTCGACTTGGAGTCGGAGTGTCTTGGCTAGCGCGAGGGCGTCTTCATCTTTTTATTGCCCTACGTGCGATTTACACAACAAATTTACATTAGCTCTCCCGCCACTCTTTATATTTCACCGGGCTGACACTGAGAGAAAAACATAGGTTAAAAGAATTACAGAAATCATTTAACTTAAGAAACCTGCTTTACACTTTTCAAGATTTAAAAAGCTTTCAACGGTTCATTCGTTTGAGTTATAATGCCTTGTGTATTATGAATTATTTAACAATGTTCTTTAGATAAAGCTTAGACCGTATTATATATAATTTTTAACCTGTTTTTAATTTACAAATAATTGTATCTTTTAAGCCCTAATTTTTTCAAGTGATAAATCAAACACTAATGAAAACTTCTCTCACTCTGCAGGTGCCGCACAGCCAGGTGGTGGATGGTGGCCTGGCCAGTGAACCCGTGACCACACATCGCGACCAGCTGCTCCAGGAATATGTGCAGTCCTCGACGCCCACACAGCCGGGAGGAGCAGGTGCTCCGGCCGCCTCACCGACCACGGTGATCATCCGGAAGGATATCCGGAGCTTCAACTTCAGCGACATCGAGGTCAGCGAGCGGCCCACGGCCACGCTGCTGACAGAGCTGGCTCGGAGGAGCCGGAACGGGGAGCTGCTCCACGATCTCTCCCAGCGAGCGGTGACTGCGACGCCCCAGCCGCCGGTCACCGAGCTGGATGACATTTTCATCAGCGTGAAGACGACGAAGAACTATCACGACACGCGGCTGGCGCTGATCATCAAGACCTGGTTCCAGCTGGCCCGCGATCAGGTGGGTTTCCCAATCGATCTGGCGATCCGTTCGTCGATCGATCTTCGATTAGTCGGAGCTAATTTCATTGCGGCTCTTTGGCTCTTTTGGGTGGGCGACAATTGGCTAAGTGGGGTGAGCCCCGGAGCTGCAAAGGTTGGCCAAGATCCTCACCTGGAGATTCGGCAACTCTTCTGGCTTAAGGGGGTTTGGCTTTTGGCTAATTTGCATAATGAGTTTTAAAGCTGATTTGATTCGATTTCGTGCCTTGATTTTATTTCGGGCTGCTCATCGGGGTATATTTATGATTTCTGTTTCGAATTTAATACGTTGGCTTTTGTTTTTTGCTAACGCTTAATTGGCCATAAAAATGTCTTCATTCATTTGGGGATTAACTGGTAGTTAATAGCCTTTGAATTTGCTTAAAAAAGACGAAGAAAAAAACTAATTTAAACGTTTTGTGTTTATGATTTCATTGAGTGCTAAACTTTGAAATTCAATCGAATTTCGTCGGCTCAATGGGGCCTTTTGTCTGGGTGAAAGGATTCGTATTTATTTGTGGTTATTGCTGCCAGTTTGCTGACGCTGCTCCGAGTGCCAACTTATGCAAAATCACGCGTCACAAATGTGTTTTGTTATTGTTTACACAAAACTGCACTCGTCGCCGGCCAGTCACAACAGCAACGGCAACAGCAACAGCATCACAAAAACAAAAACCAAACCAAAAACGAGAAAAACAAGAAACACAAATAAATAACCCCAGAGGGACATGACAGAGTGCTCGCCGTGTTTGGTACCTTTTTTGAAAATTGTAAAAATGCTTGACGAGCACGTTTTCACGGGGCTTGAGTTCTTTTTTTTCGTCTTGCCTTTTCCTGGCTGTCATATTTGCAAACCCCTCAGGAGCAGCAGGAGCCGGAGGCTCGGAAAGGGGGACTTTTAGCTGGAAGCGGCTATCGTTATCGGTATCGATTGGCAGGCGACCATATAGAGCAGCAATTTCCACACTAAACGTGGAACCACATTCGCCGGCAACAAGCTCAGTTTGGCAGTCAGCCGCTCAAGTTGCTCCTGCACTTGCAACCAGCAACCAGCAACCGGCAACCAGCAACATTTCCCCGCAGCAACATGTATCGCCGGGCAACAATTGGCCTGCTCCTCATCTTTTCCTCTTTGACTTGGCTTTTCTTTTGCTCTGGCCAATTATTTTGATGGAAAACTCGGTGATGGAAACTCTCATGTTGCTGCTGGGGCTGCGATGTTGCGGCTGTTGCACGTCATTTGCTGTGTGGTTAACAGCAATGTGGAGCAGCGACAGGCAACAACTTTGAGTTGCGTTCGATTTGATTGGCTCTTCAGTATTTGAAAACAATTTGTTGTAATTGCATGTTGTTGTTGTCTATCAGTTGTTATTATATGTTGTTGCTATTGTTGCTGTTGATTAATGTTTGTTTTGTTGTTGTCAAGACAGCGCCCATAAAAGGGCAAAGCCTGTCTTGGCGAACCCAATGTTGAATTGATGCTCAACTTGTTTTTGTATTCGAGAAGAATTGGAACTCGGGGTATTTGTAAAAAAGAAGGTAATCTTTTGTTGGAAAACTTCTTTAGCTGCTTTTGGGATTGTTCGGGAAACAGAGTTGCAAATTAGTAACCAAAAATAAGGATGATTTTTAGATTTCGATGGTTAATATTATCAAAATCATATCAAAGTTAACTTTTTGAATTATAAAGAGGTGTATTATATGATTTATTGTAAAGGTATAAGGTATAGGCATTATTTTAAACTCAATCTCATTAAGTTACCTTCCAAGAAATCCCAAAAGTTATTATAAGTACTGGGAGTGCCCCTTAAAACTAAGTATCTTGGCGAAATCTGTCCTAGGTCATGCTGTCACTCAAGAAAACTGAACACCAACTGCGTTTGCCATTATAGATCAAGAGATCTGGTACTTGACAAGGCACCAGGCAACGATCCCCACCATTTCCCCCTTGGCTTATCGGACGTTTGATGAATGATTCAAATTTTTCATGCTTACAAATGAGCATAAATTACTGTAAACAGTTTTGGCCAAAACTGGAGAGCCGCGGCAGCAGCAGCTCGACTTTGATTGAATGCCCCGATGCGGCTTAAGAGGGGGAAATCGCCTTGCATTTTGCATTCGGTTTTTATTTTTCCTCTTTCCACTTGGATATTTTCCGGCGACCTGAACTGCACCGACTTGGGCTACCGTTTTCGAGCAGGTTTTTGCAGTCAGCGATTTGGGGATTTGCATGCACTGTGCGGCGGCCGAGCAGTGGCAGTCGAAAGTCTGCGGACGCATGTCAAATGTCAGCTCGCTGGGATCTCCGAACTCGGACTTGACGGCTTGTCCACGGAGTGTTCCTGTGGGTGGCTGTCTTGCTTGTTTTTATTTCTATCTTGTCTCTGATTTACTATTTACTTTTAATGAAGCTTCTGTTAGCCTCAGTTTCAGCTTTTTGGCTTTGCCTGCCTGACTTATTGTTTGATTGATCCGCCTGTTTGGCGGTTAACCAGTTTCCTTGGTTCTGAGGAAAACCAGATTTGTCCGAAAGCTTGTCGCATTTTATTAGGCCCACATATATGTGTGTATGTACTCGGTCCCTGGAAAAACAATGTCGTAAAACTCTGTTAGACAAGTCCCCAGTTGGGGCTATTAAATTCATAACGCGCCATGTCCCACAGTTGCGGCTTAAATCTCATTAACTCCGGCTCCTTTGCCGGCATTTCTCCACTTGGCCGTCTGAATCACTTAGCTTTCGGTTCTTGGCCCAGAGCTCTCTGGTGCCTCGGTTCCCAGTCCTCTGTCCGGGGCTCTGTTTCTGGGCATTTTCGACGTTGACAGCCAGTCCCAGCCGGGCCCCAGTGATGAATCACTAAATGGGCAACAGCCGGAGTCCACTGAATGTACTTTTAGTACAACATAACGTATTGTACACCTTGAAAAATGGGTAGAAGAATATTGAATAATATTCAAGAGACACTAAATGGAATTAATTAAATTAAAGTCATGTTGCAAAATTGTTAGGAAATGTTATTTATCTTTTAAAAGAAGGGTTTTAGGGACTTATGTTTAATATGCCTTGTTTTATATAGGATTGAATATATTTCTTTATCTGATTTATTTTTTTAAGAAGTGTTGATTGAAACTTGTCGACTATGTAACATTTATTTTTATTTTGAAAATTAAAAACATATTTTTTTTGTTCGTGTCTTGTATCTGGTTGCGTCAGCTGGTCATAAATAAAGAAACGGCACTCGTCCGCCTTAAAAACATGAGAGGAAAAACAAAACAAAAACGAAACAAGAACGACACTTGGTCCGATCTCGTTATTTAAGCTTTTGAGCTGTCCCCACTTTGATTTGCCTTCCCCGGATTCATGTGCATGGGCATGCATTGCCAATTAAAGCCCAATTAATGACAATAGTCAACGGACAAACTACCGAAAGTGTGCCGCCAACGCACAAGATACAACACAATTCCAACAGATGTTTATTTAGTACAGTGCGTTTCAAAAGGGTGGCTGATATTACAAGAGGAACTAATCAATTTTAAAATTTTAAGATATATAAAAAATTTTATTTTTATATGATCTAAGAAAAATCAATTTTGTAGATAAGCCGAAATCAGTAATTTATGTTGACTGATTTTGAACTGAAGAGTTTTAAGTTTATCTTATTTGTTTAATTCGTTTATACAGATTAATTTATTCAAAACATTTTTAAAAAATATTGGTATATGTTACGGTAAACATAACATTATAGTATTAAGAAGATCATGGCAAATATTTAATATTCAATAATGGATTATTTCTTTGCTGAAGAATTACATTTGCCTTGATCTTTCGAGGGGAATTTCGAATCCTTCTACACCCTTAGCTCTATGATTTTATTTTTTTCGCTATAACCATATGCCTTACACCCATGACTTGCACTGTATAAATGCGCATTCATATACATTTGAGCTTTATCATATAGTAACAGCCCGTGCCTGAACTTTGGCGGGGGCCTGTGCTCTGTTTGAGTTGTGCTCTCAATGCTCTTCAATTGAATTCAATTCGCAATAAATTGGAATTTCAATTGTTGCTGCTTTTCGCCGGCGGCGACACAATTTCGTCCGAGTTTTTTCCCTCACCCAACATGCCACATCCACCGGTCTTTTAATCCCTTGGAACCCGCATGGAACTTCCTTTTTAATGGTTCACTCGCATTCAGTTCATATTTGCACTGTGCATATGATGCCCTTCGCTCTGTTTATCCGCACAGAATTCGATTTCAGAATGTCCCGCTTGATTGGCTCTTAATCACTTTGCCATCGGATCAATTGAATGCCGAGGGGAACCCCTTTCTCTCTCCCTCTTTCTGTGTCTATTCCCGAATCGAACAGAGAGTTCAGCAAATCACGTAGTTGATTCATTTGCTTGTTTCTCTGGCGAGCATTTAACACTCTTGTATTCCGGTGCCCCGAGGCAACTTCAATTCTCAGGTGAAGACAAAGGTATTTTCGGGGGAGAAACAAACACAGGGAGAATGCCCGAAAACCCATAATTAAAATCTCAGCCTTTGTGGTTTCGTATACGAATAGCTTGAGAAGATTACGCAGAATGCGAAACGCCCAGAACTTGTGGTCGCTTCCTGAATTGAACGATGCGTGCGCCCCAGCGTTGATGAGCCTATAGTTATGGCCCGCACTTTACGTCTAGGAGGGGGCATCGTCTTTAACAATAAATTATAGATTTTTAATTGTCTTAAAGGGAGTATTTATCAAAGACGATAAGATTTCTTGACTTTAGGAACTTTCAATGGCTGAATGGGTCTTTTAAATTTCCATATATTTAAAATATGGAGGTATATAAATTTCAATTATTGTATTAGAAATTTTATAATCAATGTCTTGAATACTTCAGCAGTTCAGTTCTGGGAATTTGTTAGTTTCATACTTGTTCCTTGCTTAATATCGAAGTATTTTATGTTCACTTTGTCTTCGTTTTATTGCCATTGCAAGTGCACAAGTAAATTGGATTTGCCATAAAAAATGCATATAACTTAATTTTATAGTATTTTTTTTATTGGTTCCCAGTAATGGGCAACTTCCTAAAGCCGATCAATAAATTTATCTGGCGGCAAGTTTATTGGAAGTCTTGACGAAATTAGTCACATCTCAAGACTATTCATTTTGCCAACTTTCACTGCACTGGACACCAAATTTTTGGAAAGCATATCCCATGGCCCACGCCCCCTTTGCTCATAGATTATAGTTTCGGTCGCTTTTCGTTTGGGCCTGGCCAATGCAGAAAAATGCAGACAAAGCCGCCGTTTCGCTGTGCCAATGCGGTTGGTCAGGAGCGGTGGTGGAGTTTGGGGTTTCGTGGAGGAGGGAGCTGGAAGTTGGAGAGCTGTACCTGGTCTAGATGTAAGGCCAGCTGCAACCGCAGACAAAATGCGCGGCTAGCTGACCGCACCCCACGTGCTTCCAGGTGAAACTGCCGCAGGGCGGGGGACACGAGGCGCGATCGGGGATCACAAGGGTGGGCATTAAATTTTACACTGCACAAGCGGAAAACGCCAACAGGCAGTGGCCAAAAATACTGAAATACTTGAATGGTTTCGGCCAAATGGTTGGCCACAGTTGCCTTTGGCCCGCAGCTGCAGTTAGAGACGCAGACGCCATTGAAAATGTGCATTGCTTGTTGCCGGTTTTCGCTCGGTTTTGTTTTTCTGGCCCCAAACACTACTCTACTCAGTTAGCCAAGTGGAGTTGTAGTTGTAGATGGAGTCGAAGTCGGAGCTGGCGGCCAGCTGGTGTGTTTTTGGTGGGCTTTTGGCTTGTGCTTTTCCTGGGCCTCCTTTAGTTCTTTTTTTGCCTGGCTTTTTCCCTCTCGGGCGCCGAAAACATAACGAATTGTTGTGGCAATCGCTTCGTTCCGATTGAGTGCATGCCACGCCATGGAAATCCAGTCAAGCTGCCCAGATTTTTCAGCTCCCAAGTGTTGGACAAATTTATGAACTTTAGAAGTATATTCCATAACTTAGTAGTGCTAAAAACTGTGGGTTGCTAAGCCTGTTGAAGGCGTATTATGAAGGGAACATATAAAAGTTGTATTTTCCTAATGTGTATAATTATTTATTGGTGCTAATATTGATGTACTTCCGCCAAAATAATACCAAGTCTTATGGCAAATTGATCAGAAATTACCAAATTGATATAACTTGGCTTTCTTTAGGACTGGTTCTTTAATACTTCCTACAATCGATTGACCTTCAATTCTTGCGGTTCTCCTAAATCTTTTCCTCTTAAGAATCCAGTACTATTTACCCATTTGTCCCACTAAAAAAGTCTGCACTCTCCGAGGCAAAGTCCCTGATTTTGCGAGTCTCTGCATTTCCAATCGCGGCTTTCAATTAACTCGACGTTCTAAAGAACTCTATTTATGGGAGAGTTCCATCAGAGCGGCCAAGTTTCGCCATAAATTTGCGAAACACGTTGTAATGCTGTTTGTCAACAGTTGGAGCAGTCACATAAATTAAAAGCTAGTCAAGTGCGGACTGCAACTGCAGCATCAGCATCAGCAACAGCAGCAGCAGCAGCGGCAACATCAGCGACAACAGCAACAGCAACAATAGGAGCAGAGGCAACAACAAGCCGGCAACATGGTGTTAACATTTTTCGCCCCAAAGCGGCGGAGCACATCCCAAACCAAAGACTCCGGGAAAAAGTGGAAAAAGTGAGCTGGAAAAAAAAATCTCGTAAAAATCCATGAAAATTCAAGAGACGAGGAGACGTTGAAAAGTTTTCTGCTGCTGCTGCTGCTGTTGCTGTTGCTATTGCTATTGCTTTGGTGTTGCTGGTGTGCCTTGTGTGTTGCTGTTGTGTATAAAGAACTCCAACTGCAGGCGAACTGCTGGCAAACGTTGACTTTCTAACTGTTACAAGTCGTTGCTCAAAATGCTTGCGGAGCGGGCGTATTGTTTGCCCAAGTTGTTGCCTTTGCCTCTCACTTCCACCAACAACAGAGACATGGCCAACAGCAACACGGCTAACAACGCCGTTCGTGTAGTTGTCAAAGCCTTAAAACGATTTTCGCCTGATTTGACACAAAGGCAAAGGCAAAGGCAAAGGCAAAAAGTTATTAAGGCCCCGGCCAATTGAGTTGTTCGGCTAACAAATTTATTAGGTCCAAGAGAGAGATAGATGTGAAACTTGGCCCGGGGGAATGTCGCGAAATAGATTATGTGAAGATTTTTCGGTGAAAGCCATTAATGAGAAAGAGATCTACCTTTTCCCAGGGATGGTCTAGAAAATATTAATCGATTCATAAATCGATAAAGTGTGCATTCTATAGTTTAGGCAGAAACAACAAACTTATAAATATGCTAACTATATATTTATTAAGACTAAATATTGAGCTTTAAATCTGAAGCTAAATAAGATGTTTAAAACTATTTCGATAAATCCAATATACTGACACTTGTAATTTTAAATTTTCGTATGACAACATATTTTAGCAACATTGCAAACCAGCTTCTACTCTGAATATACAACCCTGAAATAATAGTGAAAGCCACTAATGAGGAAAAAGCACCCATTAACTATATAGTACCTCCTGAGAATTCAGAACCCTACCGCAGTCAGCGATGCATAAAAGGCGGACTCTGAGTTTCTTCTGTTGGCTTTTTGCTTGAGTTATTTCTTGGACCGCTTTCGAAAACATCAGGGTGTGTGGGAATTTTCTTATCTGATGGCTTGTAAGCTGACCAAACGCGTTTTTTGTCTTCGAATAATTATGCGGCTGAAAAGTAGGCTCGAAAGAGCGTCTCCGGAAGATTCCCATGATACGATTTCTTGTAATTTACATGAACCACATACAGACACAGACGGGTCTACCTACCTTCATTTATGCAAATATCTAACTTTGATTGCTTTTGATTCTTTTGCAGACCTGGTTCTTCACGGACACGGATGATCACCATTACCAGGAGAAGACAAGTGAGTAGAGGAAGCCATTACTTATTTACCCGACCCGTCCGATTTTTTGCCCAAAATTATATTTCCGAGCGCGGGGGAAGACAGCAGCAGCAGCGAACGAATTTATCACAAAAGATGAGCCTCTTTTACCTGGCCGACCTCTTACCTTTCGAGATCGCCAGTCGGCAGTCTCCATAAGCGATCCCTTTCGTGGTCCGTTCTCAATTTAGTTTCACATCAGCCGACTGCCACGCCCCCAGCACCGCCTAATATTGGCCACTGTCTGGGGCCAACCGCCGAAAACCGATTAAAGTTTATAAATTCCTCGGGAGAGAGAACGAGCGGGGTAGCTTCATCACTCACCCGCATTTTAATTGAATTGCAGCTCGGGCTGCGCTTCGATTTTTCAGTCTTCACAGACTTTAATTAAAAAAAGTTCAAATTTCAATTTTGCTTCACAAAAAATTGTATTTCATTTTTGCATACAACACTGGCAAACACCGAACGGAGAACGGAGAACCCAGCTTCCAGGGCCAAGAACCTACATACATATAGCCAAGCCGATCTCAAGTTTCACACACAGACTCCTTGGTATTTTGATTAGGCCCCATAGCTGGCCAAAAGGATTCGGCTAAACACGCTCGGGGATTTTGAGTTATGTGCGGACTTGGAGCTGGAGCTGGACAAAGGATAAGAGCTCCAAGGCCCCGTTGTCTTGTGTTTAAATATTTCAACAATTTTCATCCAATTAAGGCGCAAAAGTTTTTGTGCGTTGCTCTGCTTTTTCACTCTTTTTTTATATATTTTTTTATTTTTTATTTGTGTGTTGTGTTCGCTTTTTATTCCCCGCACTGCCGCCTGCCGCCTGCATCTTTATCTTTGGCTGCGACGAAGACGACGACGGCGGCAGCTGTCAAACGATACAAAATGTATCCGCTGGATATGAGCGGCATTCTCGGCTAACAAGCTACTGTTCTGGGCCCAAAGTTACCCGGCCATTTAGTTAATTAACATAGAAGTGGGCCCTTCTGTTCCCTGTTGGCCAGCTTAATTACCAATCTTTATCAGCCTTCTCATCCCGCATCTCCGCTTCCTCCCTTCCGTTTATTTTCAGAGGGCCATCTCATCAACACGAAATGCTCACAGGGCCACTTTCGCAAGGCGCTCTGCTGCAAAATGTCTGCCGAATTGGATGTCTTCCTGGAGAGCGGCAAGAAGTGAGTATTATTATATATAAGATTAATTCCAGAGCTCTTAAAAACACCTTTCTTAGATCTCTAAGGGTTTATTCACTTGCTAAATACTAACATATAGTTCAGTTTTATTGATATATACTTTTACTTTTTAAATATATTGGTATGTAGGCAAACTATTTCCGACAGGGGTCTCTTAATGTACTCAATCTTCCCTTTCTTTTTGCATTATATTTCGGTAAAGATAAATATTAAATTTATAATGACTTTAAACTCACTGTACTGAAAGTAACACTTGGCAAGCCACATTCAAGCCTGAACCTGTGAACTGTATATACTTCCCCATTGATTGGAAATCCATACGTGTGCTCAGCTTCAATTTCATGCAGAATTATGGCATTAGCTGGGGAGTTAAGAGGTCATGTTGCAAGTTGCCTGTGCAGCAGCAGCAGCAGCAGCAGCAGGCAACATCTTCTGGTTCTCGTCTGTGTACCTAAAATGTTGTCATATTTGCCGGCTTAATGTTCATTCGATGCATTTCTGGTTAACAACTTGAGGGAGCAATGACTCCTCCTTGTGGTTCTTACTGTAATAATAGACTTTAATGCTTTTAATAAGCGACCGCAGGAGAAGCCCATCATTCTGTCCATGGGCAGCACAAAACACCCAGCTCCCAGTTTGTGTTGCAGCTGCCATGCGTTCTAATTTGCGCAATTAAGACGCAGCAGCAGCAACATCAACTTGCAACAGAAACAGCAACAGCATCCACTCAAAACTTGTCCAGCGACCGCAGCCCAAGAAAGAAAAGGAGCGGACCAGAAAAAAAGACACTTCAACTAGCGCCCAAAGGAGCAGCCTAGAAATTCCTCCTCCTGCCTTTGCTTCGCTTATTTGTAATTACACTGAGCAGCGACTCGGCAGCAACAACATCATGAAGAAATCTAGAACAACTCGGACATGCTTGGACTTTAGATGATGAGGAGATGAGGCTGGGGCCTGGATGATGACGATGGCTGAATGCCTGGATGGCTGCTTTCATCTCAAGTTGACTTGCCGTTTTGGCTTAGAACTTGAAACTGTCATTATACGAGCGCGGAGCATGCAATCAATAGCGACTGCAGCAGCAGTGCGCCTCAGTGCAGCAATGAAACAAAATAAATGGCCAGCAATGAAAATGTGCAGTTATGAGGTAGTTGCTCCAGCTTCAGCTTCAGCTCCGGCTCCTGTTGCTCTGGCTCTTGCTGGTGGTGGTCCAAAATAAGTTACAAAAAGAAAAAAACAAGAAAACATCACTGAAAATATGAAATGGTATCAGGTGGCACAGGAAACTGGATGGCCGGGCATCCTTCTGGCTGATTGGCAACGTTTAAGACTCGGCAACAGCGGCACCATGGCCAACACTGGCCGAAGAAAACCCGGGCACAACATGAAAAAGAGGTTAATTAACGTGCATTCGAACTGGCAATTATGCCACGCTGCTTTGCTGCTTTTGCTTGTATGCTATATGCTACATGTTGCCCTGCTGCTTTGCCTGTTGCTTTTTACAGCCCGAATGTTGGTCGTCGTACGCAGCACGGCAGCAGCAGCAACATGTTGCTCATTGCGGGAATTGGTTTTGGTTTTTTTAGGCAACCGTGGGGCGTCCCTGCGCAAAAAGTAGCTCTATTAAATGCAAATCTCGCCAGCTCTTTTAATTGCATCCTCCGTCTTGGCAATGTGAATTTATTTGCCATAAAACATGAATTATTTGGCCCACTGTGCGGCGTCAGGGGAAACGCCTTTCGCTCGCCTTGAATGGCTAATTGCAGCCGCTGTCGGTGAGCCGGGCTTGTCGGTGTTGGGTATCCATTATAATACCAAACAATTAGTGCAATTTAATTAAAATTACAACAATAGCAGCGGACAGCAACTGCAAGTCATAGAGAGACAGACACGGTCAAGAAACTAGGCGATGACCTGGCCCGTCACTCAAGACTCCTTCAGTAAGGGGGGAACTCCCACTCCAAAACTAATCCAAATTGAACAGCACCGACAGCTACCATCAATTATGAACTGTGGCATACACAGAGAGAAAACTTGTATAATAAGGATCTGCTTGATAATATTCCCTTTTCAGTTTTCACTAGATAACAGCTCTATTTTATTGAATGTAGATCTTTAACGCACTCAACTGGGATTAAGGTATTGAAAATAGTACCAAATTTCTTCCTCTGTACAAATTCCAGGCCACGCAGGCGCCAAAGGTTCGCTGTGCCCCCACTGTGCGCGACATTTGCTTTCGACTCACAGGGCTGGGGCTTAGGGGGAATTTATTAATTAGTTTTGTGTGTTTTTTCGACTCTAAATTCCTTTCTCAAAGCTGCCTGGCCTAATCTCTTTCGATTTATTTGTTTCAAGTTCTAATTTATCTCCGGCTCCGTGCATTTGTGTGCTCGGTCGGGTTCATTGGGTGTGTGGCCACACCTAAAGTATCCAGCAGATACCAGATACTCAGATACTCAGATACTCGGGGCAAATAATAATGTGTGCTAGCTGGCAAAACTTGTCAGGCAATTGTATAAACGTCCACTTATCTGATTGCAATCCGAGGCTGAGGTTCCCGAGCCCGTGCCCGCTGCCTTTCCCTGTGACGCATCTTGCGGATACAAACACATCTTGTGGATACATCAGGCGACCGGGCACGTTTCGTAATCAACATTTTGACACAATAAGCGCCCCTTTTTTCGGGGCCACCAGACGACGACTCGGGTGTAATTACAACACGTATTATGCGTAATATTCACAGCATAAAATGTAAATGGGGCAGGGAAATGGTGCCGAAGGATGGTCTCCACTGGAATGGGGCATCAATCAAGTCGGCCCCGATGATGATGATGATGTTAATGCTGCATGCCACTTGGCTCTGGATATGGATGTACTCTGAATGTGGATTTATATCGGTCGGTGGGTGCGTGGGAATTCGATTCGCCCGCTTTTCGATGCGGTTCATCAATGAAATTTCCCAGGGCAAGGCGGTCCCTTTCACCCTTTATAGTAAGTTAAGTTAATCCCACACTGAGTCGTAAAATAATAGAGGGAAAGAGGAGTTACAGTCGCACACACACTGGATCGCCTGACAGGGAACCCTGGGTACAGTGAACGAGAGTACTTCAAAAACTGCCTAAAGATGCCTTTAAAGTATTATGCTAACTCTTTGTTTTAATAAGTTTTGGTTTTAGAATGATTACTCTTCATTTTTATATATTTAAAACCATTACTTTCTCTTGGAAACCTTCTCACTCTGTAGTATTCACTCTACCAAGCATTCACTGTAGATCCATCTAAGGCTGTGACATTTTTAATCGCGGTTTTGATGTTGCAGTTGCAGTTGATGTGGCTCTTGTTGATGTTGCTGCTTCGTAATGCACTCGCTGATGGGATTTTCCTGGGGCGGAGTGGCGCATATGTGAAAAGCCAAGCCAGATGCTGCCGCACTGTATGTGTGAGAAAATTTTCCCCCATTTCCACGGTTTTTGCGGCCAGGGGCAACTATTTATAGAGAGAGTGCGAGAGTGAGAGATGCGTGTGAAGCCGCCAGTGTTTTCCCCATTTTCCTTTAGGGGAAGAAGTACCAGCACTGCACTCAGCGCGACACTTCCCCAGCCAGTTTAGAAACGCATCAATTTCATTTATTTGCCACTTGTGGCATCAACAAACACAGCCACGACACCACAACAATCCCAATTATTCAATTGATTCCGCGGAGCCCAGGGAGAACGGACATACATATGTAAACATTGTGTCGCGGCTGGCTGGAAAAAATGAGATCCGAAATCTTTGTCAGAAATTGTGGCAGCGGAAACGGGCAATTTCACGGCAATTGCAAACTGCAACTGCAACATCAAACATACATTTGTACAAGTATATGTATATGAGAGTTTATATGGAGTTTGACTAGGAAATGCAATTGCTACTCCACATCCGGGAAGTGCCTGTGCTTTGCTCTACATTTCAATTAGCGCCTTCCCAAGCACACACCCACACCGAAACCGACAACCACACACTCAAATCCACACCCATTCGCATAATCGCCGGCAATTGCCTTCAATTTGCGATCTGAAGTGCGAGTGTCCGCCTGCAACAAGACACTAGACCCAATATTACTTGTACAGGGCTCAGAATTAATGATTTGCTTTGTCAGACTCGGAACGACGCCAGTTGACAAATGCGTTTCAATTGTTCACCAACAGCCTCCCAAGGAGAAATGTATCTGCGCAGGCGCACGTCTTCTTTAATATTTGACTCATGAACACAGCAAAAAAATGAAGGTGATTTAATGATGATTATTATAGAAAGTATACATTCTTAGAAATACTATATTTTGTAATAGGTTTGCATTCCAATCGGTAGCAAATATAGCTAACTGGATTCACAAGATACTTGGTGCAGTTTTATTATTCCACATTCTCTTCTTTAATAATCAAAGCTAGATTTGTATTAAAATTAACCATTTAAAAACTTGACTTGACTGGATTTTTTCCACTGTGCATACTCCGAATGGAAAGCATCGAAGATTGCATTCGAAATGAAAAGATTAATTTCCCTTTTCGACTGGAGGAGATGCAGTCGCCACTCGTGTGGCTGTTGCCTTTGTTAATGAGGCGAGCAGTTCGGTTGACTTAAGTGGTTGTGCGGCGGCTGCTGCTTAATGTAAATATCTTGTTGTCTGCCCCCACAAAAACAGACACAGATAGAGAGGAAATTAAAAAATAAAAGTAACACAGGGCAGACATCATGACACATTGATTTGTATCAATCCGCGAAGCGAAACTCGACTCTGGACAGATACTTTCTGCTGCCCGGCCAGATGACAGCTGACTTATTGCTAATTGCAGGAGAGCCTCCAGGAGTGAAACCCAAACCCGAAGCCCGAAAACAAAACGAAATGGAATGAAATCAGTTCGTCATCGTCGTCTGCTGGGTTTTTGGCGATCGCTTATCTTTTCGACCGGCTGTCAAAATACTTTTAGCGCAGAGTGTGCGCTCCTTACTAAGTTGCCTTGCCTGCCCGTTAATGCGAAATCTATTAAGCCCAGGCATCGGGGCCTGCAACTCGGCATATATCTCCAGATATATCTCCTTTGCGCCCGACTTGAAGTGCCCCGTCAATCATTTTTTATTGTGGCCCCAGACATAAACTCATTTCGCCTGCAATGTGGATTGGAATGGCCGCCAACGCCCCGCCAGCGGGTTTTCTTCAGAGGATTGGGATGTGGCTCTGTTTGCTGCTGGTGGGTGAAAGGGGGCTAAGTGTGGGCAGAGGGGACTCGGGGCGGGAGAACCCAGCTGGCAGCTGATCGAAATCTGCCCACATCAGCAGCATCAGCGCATATATATGGATATAACTGAAGCCGGGTCCAAATCCGGAGCCAATGCAAAAGCTATGGCAACGGCAGCCGCGGCAGCAGCGCGAATAATTGGAAAAACGGCTATGGAAATAAACTAAAGTTTGCACTCGTTTCGCATTTCAATTTTTTCTCGGCCAACGGCCACACACTCGGATGCACTGAGAGAAATTTGAGAGATTTTCTTATGAACCAGGAGAACTTACTTTGGGGAATGTGTATAGATTTTCAAATTAAAACTTAAACATTTGAGTTACCGGTTAGGATAGCTTAAATCAAATATGGCGGAATGCACAAGAAAATGTTGGAAGAAAAATGTTGCTAAGAACATGTATCTAATATCCTCCTTGTTGCCTTGTACTTACCATTACCAATTCATTAATAAAATACGATACAAATTCATTTTACGTTGAAATCAATTTAAAATATTTATGCATTTTTCCCCTCTGCATTAAGAAGTGCAATTCGATGCAGAGATAAACTGTGAAACAGAGAAACCGGCAGACCAAACAAACAAACAAATAAACAAATAGTTTCGAAGCGGAGAATCGAAGAAAAGCCACCATCAGCGATCCCCGAATCGATAACCCAAGCCGGGGGAAACCGGGGGAAACACCAAATGAAAACATTTTCATAAATGCCAAAGAAATCAAAGACGGGGGCTGGCGTTAATTAAACGACATCGAACATAAAATAGCAGCTAGGTTTCAATTTGGATGGAAAACCAGGGGAAAGCAGCAGCAGCTGGGAACTGGCTGGGTTATGCTCTCTGCATAATTAAGCAAATTAAACGCGTATTTTTATGCTTCACGAAGCTATATCGAGGACTAACAGTGCCAGGGAATGGCAGTATTTCTACTATATAGAGGCAGGAATCGAGGAGTCGCAGTCTTTTCGCACAGATATCGCATGCGGCAGCAGCAACAGCAGCAGCAACAGCAGCAACAGCAGCAACATCAGCAGCAGCATCATCCAGGCAGGCAATTTATGAATGCCAGGCTTAGGAGTAGTTTCTTGTGCCGCACATACACACACTCTCCACCACTCCCCCCTTGCACCTGGTTGCAGTCCCAGCTTATGCAATAAAAATTATATTAAATTACCCAACAGACGCAAAGACAAGACAAGCCAATCCTCCAAGATTCAATACGATTTTATTGAATACTTACGAGCTCAACGAAAGTAGCGAGCCCAAAGAAAGGCTCCTGCATGGTCGAAGGTAGAGATACTCTTTAGGAAATAAGAGTTTTAAATATTAAAGGGGGTTCTGCAGAGATGAAATACTACATCAGCTTAATCACAGCTCTAACAAGGAAAATCTACATATCATTCCCGGTTAGTATCCTTGGACTATGACTGGCAAATCGCTCTCAGGGTATCACCCAACGATATGCCCAAGTTGGGCATCCTCTTACTAGGGCCTCCAGGAGGATGATGAGGGTCAGTGGAGAGCCGGAGTTGGAGCTCTCAGCTGCGGCCGCTTAATGCCATCATTAGTCCACCGCCGGCTACCGGATATGGCTGATCGTTTGTCACTACAAAAACTGCAGCTGCCTTGGCAGACTCGCAGATCTTTATCGTCCCCTTGGCCTCCGACTCGGTAATTGCAATCTAAATTAGTGCACTTTTTATGCGGCTTAACGGAAAAGGCCTTGAGAGGGGCCGCATATGCTTTACTGGCTAAACGAATCGATTTGGAACAAACATGGGTGTTACTGTATGCCGAGATTGGACACACAGGAATTTCGAACGCCATAGAGGACGTCATTAGCCTCTGGCAGCTTGCACACCTTGTCCGTGGCCGGGCGGCTGAGTCGCTCGGCCAGGACACTGAGATCCAACTTATTAACCCGCACCATCAGCGAGGGCTCCTTCTCCACGGCGCGGCACACCACGCTCTTCTGGCAGTTGACCGGCCCGTTTTTGCTGTGCCGGAGAGGAGCATCCGGGAGGACGCCAATGATCTGGGGACCGACATCCACTCCCACCCGCTTGCTGGTGCAGGAGAGGCACGTGATGCCGGTGTTAATGAAGCCGGCTGCCCGTGGGCACTCGTCCTTGTCCTCGAGGCGGTGCAGTCGGCCTTCGAGGTCGTCGAAGCGGTCGCGAATGTACTTTTTCAGCGCCGGCATGTGTACCTTGTCCAGCTTGCTGTCCAGCATGTCCTGCAACTCCTCCATCGTTCCGATAAAGGTCAAGTTGTACTCCTGGACGAGTTTCCTGATGCCCTCGATCTCCACCACACACTGCTTGACCAGCTCCAGGCGTTTGAAGAGTGCCTCAGTTTCCCGGAGGAACTCCTGCAGGGTCAAATAGAATCTCTCTAGCTTCCGGCTCATCTGCTCCATCTGATCAAGGATCGGGGTGGCTATGAACCTCATCAGTTTCTTCATGAAGTCCACGTTGGCCAGCAGGCTGCATGCGATCTTGTTGTCCTCGTCACAGGTGGTGCAGAGATCCTCGCAGGGCGAGGCGTACTGCTCGGCATTGTGGACTCTTAACTTCTGGTCCTTGGCCTTGTTGCAGATGCGAATCTGTTTGAAATGGCACTCGAGCTTGGTCTCCAGCTGCCGTATGCGCTGCTCCATCATCTCAACCTTGTCCAGTTGCTCAGAGATGGGCACAATAGTCTGCACATCGAAGGGCAGCGGGGAGATCTTGGACTGCTCTAGGATTCGCTCCATGCACTTGCCCTCGAGGCCACTGATACTGACCACATCATTCTGGCAGTTGAGTTTCTTAAGGAGCACATTAATCAGACTGTGGAGCACGGCCACATTGGTGTGTGTTAGCTCTGGCACCCCGAGAGCAATCCTGGTCAGCTCCTCCAGCGTCAATTCCACGTGTACGGGCATTGTGTAACAATGTAGTAATGTTTATGTTGAAAGTAAATGTAACCTTCCTTCAAAAGATCTGATTTTGTAACAAATGTGTCTGCCTTTGTCTATTTCCAGGTGGTTCTGTCACTTTGACGATGACAACTATGTCAACGTACCGAGGCTAGTGAAGCTTCTGGACGAGTATAGTCCCAGCGTGGACTGGTATCTGGGCAAGCCGAGCATCTCGTCGCCGCTGGAGATCCACTTGGACAGCGTAAGTGCAAATGCCTGTTATTTCTGCATATTTTCCTATATAGAGTTCGTAATTACAAGTCCCACTGCGATCGATCGCCTTTCTCCATCTGCCGGCCGGGCCCAGCTCGATCCAGCTCGGGCAGCCGCGGCAGGCCGTTATTTATGTGGCCACCATGGCCATTTGTCTATGCCGCCATTTGGCTTCCAGCTGCCAGCGCAAGCTATCATTAATAACCGATATGATCTGGCCCGGCACTAGCAACAGCAACGGCAGCAGCAGCCCCAATCCCAATCCCAGTCCGAGTCCCAGTTTTGGCTTCGAATTCGAACTTGTTTCCACTCCGCGCCATTTGAAATATGGCCAGCTGATCCATGGAACCGTAAGCCTTTAAGCCAACGCTCCAGGTAGAGCGCCCTGATCGGAGCTGCATGCATAATTAAGAAAAATAATATGAAAAAAACCCCAAAATTTACGCTTCATTTGCGGGAGAGAGAGAAAAAGAGATCCTGTCAGGTCTCGGCTTACGCTTTAGCCAGGCCCATGTATTAAGTTTCCTCCTCGCACATGTCCATTTACATGGTCAATTAATCAGGCCAGCTTGACTGCCCGTGTTTTTTTTCGGCTCAATTTTCTCTGGGCCATTGCCAAAAACCAGAAACCAAAGCCGAAAATTTCGATATTTATTTAAGTTTATCCTTTGGTCCAGTCTTTCTGGGCCATTCTCCATTCATGAGCCAGTTCTTCCGTTAATCTCGTTTCTTTCCCACTCTCTCTTCTCCTTTCGGGCCAACAGAAGAACACGACGACCAACAAGAAGATAACCTTCTGGTTCGCCACTGGCGGAGCTGGCTTCTGTCTCAGCCGGGCCCTGACCCTCAAGATGCTGCCCATAGCAGGTGGTGGCAAGTTCATCAGCATCGGCGACAAGATTCGCTTTCCGGACGATGTCACAATGGGCTTCATAATAGGTGAGTTTGCTACAAATTTTAGCTATTTAAAAGGCCGGGTTTTTATACACATTTTTCCTCTATTTTCATTCAACAGAACACTTGCTCAAGGTTCCTCTGACTGTGGTGGACAACTTCCACTCGCATCTGGAGCCCATGGAGTTTATACGCCAGGATACGTTCCACGACCAGGTGTCCTTCAGCTATGCGCACATGAAGAACCAATGGAATGTGATCAAGGTGGATGGCTTTGATCTGAAGACCGATCCCAAGCGATTCTACTCCCTGCACTGCCAGCTCTTTCCCTACTTCAGCTTCTGCCCGCCCAGATGAGCTGGGTGATCGCGACCCTGATCCGGAGATGGACCCATTTCTGGATCCCATTTGGCTGTTGCAGGCGCACGTCTGCCGCCGGATCGGTTGTGAACCGATGGGGCAGGCGTCTAAAAAATATAACAAATCTCGCCACTGTGATTTAACCTTAAGTGTATATGGTATACGAGTAACGAACGGTTCTTTTGTGTATATAGTATAGCGGCTTCCAGCTCGACAGATGTGCTTCCTAATGGTCTAAGTTTCACTGTAGCTCTAGGTCTTGCAATCTTCCAACACACTTCCAAGTGCTTCCCTATAGCGTTACACGGCCCTGTTCCGGCCAACTTAGTTTGTAGTTAAATTAATGGTCTAGTCTATGTTTAAGTTAGCTTAGCACCAGAGAGACCGCTTGACCCTCTGCTGTGTAATACTGTAATGCAGTCTAATGAATTGGCCTAGAGTAGCAATATGCGTGTATATAGTATAGATCTAGTGTGTGCTCAGATCTAACCAAGAAATGTTTAAACAAGTTTGTTAATTTTTAGTTTGCTTAAATAAAACCGAATATATTATTAAAAAATTAACCATAATTCAATGTTTTAATTTCATGAAGGTTGCACAGATTTACAGATTTCTAAGAGATTATCCCTGTTTAAATCAGTGATATAATTCGACTTAACAGGGCTGTTGCTTACTTTCTTGTTAACAGATCTCTTCTCAGCGAATCTCACTGTTATACGCACTGTTATCATATGGCTTATCAGCCATTTTTTCTTCATTTTAGCTTATGGCTAAGATTTCTGTTAAGAGCATAGAAATATGTAAGGGTTGGAATAATATATATCTTTTTACAATTCCTTGGTAAAAAAATCAGGAAGAAGTAAGTAACAAAACCAAACAGTATTTAATTGGTTCAATTGAATGATAAATTAATACTTAAAACAACATGAATAATGCTCCCCATTAACACTGAGAAAAGAACTTTGCATGCCAGAGAGCTATTGGAACCCTAAATCCACCTCGAGGGTCCTTGAACTTGGTTGTTTTTCGACTTGTTGGCCACATCGATGTTGCTGCGGTTGGCCTGGCTTATCGGCTTCGTGTCAGCAAACATTCTGTCTACTTGTTGTTCGGCCAGCTTCCTGTTGCCGCGGCGCATTTTGCATTTTTGCGAAAATTCGTTGTTAATTAACGCTAAAAGCCATGTTTAAGCCGCTAAAGCGTTAACTTTCAAGCGATATGGATCGGCGACTGTGAGCGACAGAGGTAGATAGACATTGACATGTCCACGTCCACGTTTACGTCCTCGTCCACGTCCGCGTCCACATCCACATTCACATCGATGTCCGTGTCCATGTCCTGAGCAGACAATGAACGGTCCGATCCGTTCCAGAGAGTTGAGGGTGCCTCACGATACGGCATCGGATCCAATGACATGTTGCGAATTTTTATAAAAGACTCACTCGACGGCCGTGTCCCCCGGGTATCCCCCTTTCTGGTGGACTCTCGTGATATGTTAAACAGTTCTGGGCAATTATTTTTTGCCTTCTCGCTGCATCCAGTTTTTAGTTGGCTTATATGCAGATAATCAGTTTTTAGTCCATGTCGGGGCTCAGTTTGGGGCGCGCTTTAATGAATGAAGGAAGGCTGCCTGGAAGCCAAACCGTCCAGGGGACCAAGGAGACAAGGAGACCTGGAGACCCGAGTCTGTTTGTCTGGCAGGAGAGAACAAGGAGCCGGGAAGGAGTTGGGACTGACTGCAATTTTTGTGGCTTGTTCGTTTTAATTGCAAGTGAAATCCTTGTCAGCGCTGTCGGGCTGCCTGTCGGCCTGTCTGCCAGTCTGCCCGCCTGGCCGTCTGGAGCATCGTCACAGCATCGATAATGAATTAATTATCATATATTAAAAGTCAGTTTGCAGCCGTGGCCTCTCCGATAATCTGCTTCGCCCGGGCACGCCTTTGCATATTTTACGGATCTCCGAATTTAATGAAGTTCGGGTGTCTTGGTGCTCGCAGAGCCCAAAAATCCCCATTTAGTTTTGTGGCACACGCATTTCTTTTTTTCCCTCTTGACTCTTTGTCGGATTTTCATTCATCACTTCTAACCACAAAGTTGGTGAGTGAGAGATAAAGTCGTAACCGAAATCCAAATCCAAAATCCAGTGGCAATCACAAAGGCACCCGGCATTTTTCACTTCGACTTGGCGCCGCCCACGAACGCAGAGTTAACAGCGGATGGGTTTCTTTTGTCCGAAATCCATTTAATTTGTGGTTGGCTGCGGCCAAGTGATTCATTAGATACAAATTGCGGCGACTCCCCCGAAGCCCGGTTCTCATGCTCTCGATTTATGCAAAATCATAATTTTAATTGAATCTCTCTTGTGAGTATTTGGGCAAAGGATTTGGCCCGGTCTTAGTGACCGACAGCAAGTGCTCCAGCAGTAAGCCTTGTATTTTTAGGGGTCTCATTTGTATGCAGAGCCGTCGACCAGGCGCAAATTACATGAGAAAATGCCCGAAACAAGGCGATCGGGCGATAAGGAACGCAAAGTATCTCGAAGATGCGCAGGCCTGGCCATGTCCCAAGTACAAGTATCTGATGCTTATCATCGCCCAGCCTTGTCAACTCTTCGGTTTGCATTCAGTTTTGGCTGCCAGCGAAATGCCGAGCCCGAAATCAAATCGAATCGCCAAACCAGTAGCCACCGAAAAAGGCTGCCAACACAGGCAAGCAAATAATTTGTCCGTCTGGCGGAGTGTCCTCGCGGCCTGTCAGTCTTTCAGTCTTTCACTCTCTCAGTATTTCAGTACAAGTATCCCAGTCTCGCTGCCTGCCTGCCCAGTCTCCTGTCAGTCACTCGGCTAGTCCGCAAACTATAAATTAGTGCAGCAGCAGGAGCTCCCGAAGAGATGGAGCTGGAGCTGGAGCTGGGCCTTGGGTATCCAACACCCAAGTGAGCCAGCCCCTGAATTTATGTTGTGCATGCCAGTGATCGGGGCGTGGATGCGGAATGGGGTTTGCTATTCCAGCACCGGCACCATCACCATCAGTTCAGCATCAGCAACAGGTGAAACGACTAGCAGACTAGATCAACTGCCAAGTGCTATCCTGTACTCTATATTTAAAAGGGTATATGATGGTATGATGTGCTAAAAAGAAAGATTTAAATATGAAGTATATTTAAGCCTAGGTAACCTTTTAGGAAACAGATCCCTTCTCGGTGCTTCTCACTGTTTGCAGGTGAGTGGAGATATTTTCAAGGAGTTGATAAGACCTTATGTTTCATTGAAATATAATTGACATTTTCAGAAACTATCTAAAGAAATTGCCAAGACTCTCCCATCTAGAAATATTGGTTATATTCCAGGGTAATACCTGCTCCTTTTACCCACAACCCTGGAGTGAAATATGCTTCTCTGTCTATAATTGGAAATGTGAGGCAGCGAAATGAACTCGGCTGCAGTGGCTGCTGCCAACCTGCTCATAATTTAAAGCTGCCGTTGCAGTTTATGGCCCCAACTTGGCTAAATTATGTGTAGCCTCGCAGCTCTTTTCCAGGGGGAGCTTTTCACGAGGGGCACGGAGGATGGGGGAAAGGATTTCTTTTGCGATCGCAGATCGCCAGCAGATACTGTAGTTGAGCAGCAGAGCACAGCTGCAAGCTATTAGCGTTTTGCCGAAGATACTTAACGGTCAGCAGAAAATGCATGCAACCAAAGGCCATGTGGTCAGCCACATTGGCGGACAACTTTATTAGGGCGCATCCCATCGATCTCCAGGAGTGGCCCAACTCCCGATCACTGTTCCCTGGCAGATTCCGTCAGCGGGTTTACGCCGAATTTGCAATGGTCACTGGACCTGAACAAGGACCACGACCAATGAACGATGAAGGATGGAACAGAGGTTGCCGCTTACCAGTTGCCAGTTGTCAAAAGTCGCCGCTGGGCGTTGTGGTTTCTGTTCGCTGGTGGCGATGTTGACGATGCGTTAAAAACCTTTTCTCGATGCTTATCGCTTTACACGGAAAGAAATTAAATATGGAATTTGAATTTATAAATGTTAAAATATTTTAACCATTCCTGCCTACAGGAAACTCTGGATTTATTGCCGAGTATATCTAGATTTTCCAAACAAACAAGTTAGTAAGTATGTATGTATACATTTTATCAAAGTTTAAGTATTCATTTAAGGTACTTTCTAACTTGTTACTACTTTACAGACTTAAATCACCTTTAATTATTACATTTTTATGGTTTTTGTTTAACAAGATTGTAGAACTTTAATGTAAATTCGATTATTTTTTCCTGTGCATCTCTCTGCGTGTGGATTCCTTGTTGGCTTTGGTTTGTTTTGTGGGGTAATTGTTTTCGAACGTGGCTGGCGGTAAAGAACAACAACAATGGTAACAACATTGCTCATGTTTCACTCAAAATGCGATAAAGATAAAGGGAATGCTCTGTTGTTAATGTTGTTACCTTACGGCGCTGCTGTTGTAGTTGTTGTTGTTGTTGTTTTTGGGCGTATGACCTGGAAAATGTTTTGCGCCTGCGCAACGTTTCAGCTCAACCTACACAACATCAAACAAAAGCCAAATGACAGCCTTATCAGTTCAAATTAATCAGGCGTTGCCTCTTTTTCCTCTGGCACGCACTTGAGACATGTTCGAGAAAGAGTGGGGTATATACATTCTGATAGAGAGAGGGATATATGCAAGAGGAGAGCTCGGAAAATACCTTTCAGCGCCAGGTTTTTTGTCTCATATCAATTGTTTGCTCTGTCAAAATTTACATCACTTCGAGTGGCATCGTAAGTTGAAGGAAAATGTAAAGGGAAAAGAGTGGACAAGAGATAACTCTTCCACTAAGTTCTGAGTTGGTACAGTGAAAGTCTTTTATTATAGAAAAATACCTCATGCCATAATTAGATAACATATTGAGCATATTATCCATGAAGTAAGTAAGTACATATGTACATACATCATATTATATTATACATAACAGAAATTTGCCTTACTTTTTCATTGCTAAATCATTTTGAGTTAACTTATTGCTTCTCAATTCGAAACTATGAAATATACATGATCAAAACTGATCATAAAGGTCTGTCTGTACAGTATGCCCCTCTAAAAGCGCCACATACTACGTGTTTTTTGGGATTTAGTTTTATTATTTTTTCAGCCTTATCAGCGGCTTTTGACCCATCTGAAGTGGCCCTGAGTAGTTAGTTATTCCCGGCCATTCGTAGTTCATTTGCCGTTTTCATGTTTCTCTGGAACTCACAAAAACAAAGGCCGCAGAGTACTTAAAAAAATCTTAGGGTTTTTGTCAGACCGGGGGTAGAAAGGTGAACTCGGACTATCTCCTGGCTCCCATCTGGATCCGAAGTGGCGAAGTGTTCTCTGCGCCCGTGGGCGTTGGCGTCGGAATTGGAGTTGGAGTTGGAGTTTGGTGTGGCCAGCGGCGATTATTGCCAACTCATTTTCGTGTGCTCTCCCACAGAATGTTTTAAGAATCACAGAGGGGCTGTGGCACATGCCACTTCGGAAGCCATAAC